AATTACGAATTAGTGCATACCCTCTCGAAATTGAGAGAGGGCGGTATAAGAAGCTCCAAGTGTATAAACGGATTTGTAAACATTGTACGTTGAATACGGTGGAAGACGAAGCGCATTTTATCTCAAATTGTATCCTCTATAGCAATGAACGAAATTAACTCTTTGACGAAGCCTCCAAATTCTACCCAAACTTTCACACATATACAAATAAAAAGAAAACTGCTCTCCTCTTAACATACGAAAACCCACAAATCACAGAAAAAGTGGGATCCTTTGTCTTCCTCTGTCTTCAAAAAAGAAGTCAAACCCAGTAGTTTTTACTAGTAGTTTCTTAGTACTTATCAGTAATTCTATGTGTACTAATTGTCTGTTTCTTCTGTTCCTGCAATTAGCCCTCGGGCATGAATTTGCAATAAAACAATTATAAAACAATTATTAAAACTGATATATAGAATGTTAGAACTTGATATCAACTGGTACCCTCGTAATTTACTGTGTTCAACTTCAGCATGTACAATATCTTGCGAAAAACCTGACAAAGTCACGTATTTTTATCCTATGTAGTCATCAGAATTGCCATGACCAGCCTGGCAAAACTTGTGACAGGCGTGCGGGGTTACAACTCTTAGTTATCTTTCCCCTCAGATCCTCCACTTCAGTACCCCCCGGATTTGGAAGATGGGTTCGCCCGACGTAAACAGAGACGCAACAGAACCACCTTTACTTTACATCAGGTAAATTCAACATTTTTGTCTACATTTTGTAACAACAATACGCGAAGAGTATCTGGGGTAAAATGATTACTTTAAAAATGATATATTCTTTATTCGTAAACTGAGATACGAAGAATAATTGCAAGTGATGTAGTGATAGTCTATATTAACAGGGAAAATTAGAGAAAAGTTTTTAGTCTACTGTAAGATTCCACATTTCTCATTTCCTTAATAATCGTAGATAGCTCAACCGTAGATAGCTAAACCAAAATTATCATAAAAGTTCATCTGTGTTGGTAGTTACATGTTTAAAGTTAAAACGTTTGATCCAACACAATGGAATCTCTCACCTAGACCAGTCTCTCTGGTCTTCCTCAGTAGACTGATCCAGTGAAGCTTGTCACGTGGCTTCTTTGAAGTGTGACGTCAACACTGGGTCACAGGTATCTGGTAGAAGCCATGTGGCAAGCTTCACTGGGTCAGTCTACTGAGGTCAAAACCAGAGTGACTGGTCAAAAGCTCTACGTGAGAGAATTTTTTGTGTTGGATCAAAACTTTAAACACGAAAAACAAAATTGTTACTACTTTAACCTCCGGCGAAACGCAGGGCATTTGATAATAGTAAAGTACTTTGGTCTGTAACTCTGACTTACTGAATGGATCCGTGTCGTTAAGTTGCATCCCAACAGATAGAATAAAAGACGCTAAAAACTAGCTCTTCTTATAGATTCTGTATTTTTATCTTATTTTGTTTTACTTCTTTTAGACTTGATAAACCAACCTTCCTAAAATTTATCGATATATACGCCTCATTTTTTTCAGTTTTCCTTAGTACAGTGTGCGTTGTTAGTGCTGTATAACAGACGTTAGGCCACACCAATTTAATTTGTTGGTTCTCGGATTCGCCTCTTCATTTTTTTTGATTTGCAAAAAGAAAAAAAATCTGGTTCTGAATCAACTAAAAAATGCTCATATTTTGCCCTCAACAGTTGAGGAAAGTCCTTTTATTTATTCCTTTTTATTTCTAGTTGTTACAGTTTTTTCATCTATCAATGCAGTGGTTTGAATAAAAGTTCAAAATTCATTGTTTAAATATTGACCCAGACTTTTGTGTTGACTTCATGGCTCCTATCGTAGCATTTGGGGGTATAATAAGATGTCTAGACTTGTTTTTTTCGCCCTGTCGCTTTGAATTTTCTGTGAAAAATTACGAGAACCAACAAATTAAATTAGTGTGGCCTTAACAAAAGGCTGGCGTAGAGCGGGAACAGCAAGAAAGACTGCATTTCTGAATAAACTAATGAAGTTGTTACTGTAAGTTGCTGTCACTAGTACACGATGTGATGTGAGCTAAGCTGCCTGGGACTATGTACAGACATTCAAAAATAGGTAAAAAGCGTGGTTAGCCGGTGTGGATCGACATAGGCTGTGATGTCCACGCCGTCTTCAAGCAGATGCAAGGTCCCTTTTTATGTCTTTTGTGCGGTACCGATTTTCCACAAAAATACGCACCACGGAAATATCAAGAACACGAGATAAAACAACATCCAATAGTAATTCAGTGATAGAAATATAGAGATCGGAGTCAAGGTGGCTACGCTCTTTAGTAAAAAGCACAACTACAATGAGTTTTAGTTCTAATAATTAACATGTATCAATGTGACTTAATAACTAGAGAAGTAACATTTGCAAAGCAAATGCATAATGTTTACCTTTGGACATGGTCTGCTCTGTTAATTCTTACTCAAACACATTCACATACAAAAATATGGTGACAGGAGCAGAGCAGATCATGAAATTGCAACATTATGTAACCCAACACCATTCACCATGGTGACAGACATCAACAAATCATGTCATTGGCCAGGTCATAGGTCACTGTTTGGAGAAGAAGAAGAGGAAGAAACGGAGCAAAAACAATATGTTTCGGTGAGCACCTCTTCTTCAGCACCCAGGACAGGGTTATGTAAAGTCCGGCTTATCGATCGGCTCAGTCGCATGTCGGCTGTTCTACTCTACTGAACAGCAGAATCTTCCATTCTGAGCAAAGTTCTTAAAGTGGTACCGACGTGATTCAGTTATCTCATCAGTCACAGAAGTCGGCTTGCTTTGTCCGCCTTAATCGACATTCACTGCCTTCCTGACTAGATTGCAGCAGTAATTGAATAATAACGTGTTTATGGTGGCGTTATTGGGCAGGCTTTATCGGATTTTCCCGCGTCAGGAAAGAAAGGTTTGGCTGCTTAATCCAGCAGGCTTTGCGCGCAGGGCGTAATCGCATTTCCGTTTAGGGGTACGGAGCCTGACTATTCCGCATGCGCAGCTTACCTATAAAGCACAATTTAGTTACATGCAGGTTTAGCGGCGTGCTGGAATTATCCTGACTTGTCTTCAAATTTGTCTTCATCACAGCAGGCGGGTAGATACCGGGCTGGCTGCGCAGCGGAGAGGACATTCACCAGTTTCCCATCCCCAGAATGCAATGCGAAAACAGGGGGCTAACTCTCTTTTGCATAGGACAGGAAGGCATCGGAATGATCCTGTTGACGTTAAACAGCTTGTTTTTCAGTGTGTTTTGAGGTGTTGGGGCATTTTATGCTCAAAGTTAATTAAATTACTTTTGGGCAAATCTGACAACAAATAGAGAATGATTTTTTTGGAATATGTGGTTTGTAACTTTATAGTGGTAACGTTAACACCATACTGATGCTGTAACGTTACAAACCACATGTTTCATGTTGAAAAGAACACAAAAACTTCAATCTCTATTTGTTGTCAGATTCGACAAATAGTAACTTAATGTTAAGCATAAAATACCCAACACCTCAAAAGGCAGTGAAAAAGAAGCTGTTTAACGTCACCAGGATCATTTCAATGCCTTCCAGTCCTATGCAAATGAGGGTTAGCCCCCTGTTTTCGCATTGAATTCTGGGGATGAGAAACTGGTGAATGATTAGATTTATCGCTACTGATTCAGTCTGAACGTAGAACGAGGCGTTTAAACAAATGCTTTGTTTTTAAGTACTTTGAAAGGAACTTTTGTAATTCTTTTGTTAGGGGATAAGTAAAACGTAAATCCTTAGTTTTGTTTTCAGGTAGATACAGTGAGATACAGAATATTAGTAAAGCAAAGAGCAGAAAGGGAAAGATATTCACAACAAACGTATCAAGTAATATAAATACAACTCATTATAAAAACAGCACAAGTGACACTAAGGCCACATCGACTTAATTTTATGGATGACATCCGGGCGCGCATTGATTTTCGTCTGATCTCCAAAAAAAATCTCGTCCTCCGAGGCTCAGGCATGGCTTTAGGCCTGGGTAGTCCATGGTAGTTAGCGTCAATATGGAGCCGGTGGTAACTCTGGAGGGTGGCACCCAGGCTAACGAAGCTCCACGACTCAAGTACATAGGTAGTGCCATTTCATAAATTCCCCAAAAAGCTGGCTTGTCGTATACATCGCTATGTACTGCCGCAAATTCACAATACCAGCTTTGTATCCCTGGTTTAGTAGCCTTTTTATTTTTGGCCGGAATCTTTTTTTATTCGCCCGCGCGCAATAGTTTGGGGGTCCTCAGAGGATGTCATCCATAAAATTAAGACGGTGTGGCCTAATGTAGTAAGACAGAAGGGAGAAATGTTGTTCATTTGTTTTATTAATTTTTTTTTCTAGCTGGAGCAACTTGAGGCTGTATTTGCGCAGACGCACTACCCAGACGTCTTCACCCGTGAGGAGCTAGCCATGAAGATCAACCTGACGGAGGCCAGAGTCCAGGTCAGAAACTCGCACAAAACTATGCACAGACTATGCATAATGTACAAAATGACTAATAAACTAGTGGACGTCCCAATCACTAAGTACCTAATATCAGCCCAGAAGAGAACAAGAAATAGCCATGCCTTCAAGTACCAGAGTTATCAACTAAGGATTGAGGTGTTCAAAAATTCATTCTTTTCTAGAACTATCGCAGAGTGGAACTCGCTGTCACCAAGTACAGAAGGGGCATTGTTATTAGATAGCTTTAAACGATGTCTAGAGTTAGAAGTTCAAGGGTTAGGTGTAACAAGTCGATCGGTGTAATGTTGCCAGCTGCCGCCGCGCCGCGTGCCTGCGAAGCTGGTGTGTTACGCCGAGGGGCGGTTATACCGGCTATACAGATACAGAAGCTGGTGTGTTACGCCGAAGGGAGGTTATACCGGCTATACAGATACAGAAGCTGGTGTGTTACGCCGAAGGGCGGTTATACCGGCTATACAGATACAGAAGCTGGTGTGTTACGCCGAAGGGCGGTTATACCGGCTATACAGATACAGATACAGAAAACTGCCTGAAGTGGGAGGCACTCTGTCAATGGTTTTGTTATTATTTTCTGCGAATTGTCTTAACCTCAAATATGTTTAAACATTCGGTTTAGAGTAAGATGGACTGATACAATTGTAGCAGAAGTACTATGATTGGCAGACGTACTATAAGCAGCATGGTTTGTCCAGATGACAAATACATAAGTTATGCTGTTGTATAGAGCAAATACGAGGGGTAAGACTTGAGACGTAGTACCACACCATAAATGATTTTGTCCTGCTACTTGTAACGTTAACAGTCTATACCATTATTAAACCATTTTGGCTATTTGTTAAGTTAGTATTCTTCCATCAAAACGTCATTACAGGGAGATATTCACGACCTATCGTGTGATATGGGAGCATAGTCTCCAGCTACTTTTCTCTGCAAAAGTGCTTAAATCGTCGTCGTCGTCAATTATGGCTTCTGTTTAGTGTTTTCGTACATACTCGTACATGCCAGAACAGTAATGGACGATAAAATGTTCTTCTAAAAGTAACTTTGTTGCATGCATTGCATTATTTGTTATCCCCTTGTACCCGGTCCAGGCAATTCAGCCCAGAACACAAGTTACCGCAAATTTGCATCTTGTCTCCCTTCAATTTTTTTTTTATTCAGCATACAATAAACAAAATAAGGGTACAGGACAAAGTGACGACGGGCTCAAGTTAGGTAACTTATGTTAGCGCCGCCACTTAAACGAATAGAACTAATATTACTAAACAATGCAAAACACTATCCAAGAATACATGTAAAAGAAAAGAACAAACAGTGGAATTGATGAAGCGAGAGTCCACATTCCCCACCCAACAGATGAAAAGGACACAAATAGAAGTAAAAACGTTTTGTTGCTAAAATGTAATTTTGGGCGGTTGACATAATGTTACAGTTAACTCGAAAAGAATAAACCGGGGAACCGTTCAAAATTAAAAGTTGTTTCGCTCTATCTGAAAGAGCTCCCTTCAATTCATGCTCGGAGATCTATGGAGTATGTATCAGTTACAGTAGGGGTAGGTAACGCCAGGAGACCACTACATACAGACAGCCTCTACCAGGCTTCGGGAGGAGGCTGGAAAGAGTAGAAATCAGCCAAATAGAGAGAAAACATGCTGAGGGAGTTGGTCCGCGCTTAGATTGCGACAAACTGTTCTCTAAGCGCGGACCAACTCCAGTTTTCTCCATATTTGGCCGATTTCTACTCTTTCCAGCCGCCTCCCGAAGCCTGGTTGAGGCTACACTACAGAGAGCACCGCGCATATTGGTGAAATCGCCCTGTAAGTTTCCCACACCTCCTGGCTCCACGCTACACGGCGTTTGGCGCTGGCCCAGAGCTACAGTTCTAACCGCCCCGCCCCGCACACTGACCTCGGCCTGCACGGTTAACACCTGCCCTCCCCTCCTCATACCCCGCATGCGCGGTAGGACCCATCTGGACATGCCCCATTAACGCCCGCCCTCATCGCACTTTAATTTCATGGTTCCCTTCCCGGGGTATGAAACATTACCGCACGTCATTAATACCATGTAGGTGGTGCTATGTGTGGCCGCTTTTATAGAATACCGTATGATGACATATGGTTTCTCACATTTTCCGCTAGAATGCCTTCACGCAAAAATAGTCTAAGGCGAATCTTGAAACAACTCATGGGGTGATGTAATCCACCATTATCGCAAACGGTTCGGCGATGACCTATTGACCTCTTCAGGGGAACCTTACGGGAGAAGAACAATAGATTCATGGACACACACACACACACACACACACACTCACACTCACACACACACACACACACACACACACACACACACACACACACACACACACACACACACACACACACACACACACACGACACACACACTACACGACACAACACACGACACACACACACACACACACACACACACACACACACACACACACACATACATACACACACACACACAAACACACAGGTGGGGTTCTGGGTAAAGTCAAGGTTTTAAAAGACTTGGGTTACTACACATACACACAACTCTATGAAGCGTGTGTTTGTCCCATCCTTGACTATGCAGCTGGTGTCTGGGGATACAAAACAACTGAGAAGTGTTCAGTGGTGCAGAACAGAGCAATTAGGTGCTTTTTAGGGGTGCACAGATTTGCACCTGTTCTTGCTACAACAGGGGACATGGGCTGGGCGCCCTGTGAAATAAGACAGCAGGGGTCTGTAATCGCTTTATGGAATAGACTTATCAATATGTCAAATGATAGAATTACAAAACAAGTATTCTTATGGGACTTTCAAAACCATGGCCCCTGGAGTAGAAATGTCCAGGATATATTCTGTAAAGTTGAGCAAGAACATGTTTATCTTAACACATTGAGGGGTGACATTAGGCAAATTAAAGGGAAGCTTTTTGACTTATACAAGCAAGACTGGGCAACCAAAGTACTTTTGAAACCTAAACTTAGAACATATGCTCTGTTTAAAGATACTTACTGTATAGAAAAATATGTAACTATGTGTCCTCCCCAAACGCCAAAGATCATTGTGTGCGCAGCTGCGAGCTGGTATTTTACCTATCAATATTGAAACTGGACGGTACCAGGGAATTCCTGAGGAAAGTAGAATGTGTACCATGTGTGACCTGGATGAAGTAGAAAACGAAACACATTTTCTTTTTTACTGTCCCTTTTATGACGATCTTCGAGAAAATATGTTTCGTAAAATTTATACAAAATCACCTGACATCATATGGGAAAGAGATGAAAATAGAATTAAGTGGCTCTTTAACGAGGGTGTATCTGACCTAGCAACTTTCATTTATCGAGCGTGGGGGAAAAGAAGAAAATACCTGTATTCATAACACATCAACAGTTCTCACCTTTTGTTACTTCTACACATTTGTTTTCTCTTATTTATATTTGATTTACCTTATGTACTTGTATTTATTTTGTGAAATCTTGGTTCTTTATCAAGTTTATGTACAGATTTGTTTATTTGCATTTATGATCTGTTATGAGTTCACTCTGTTCTGCTTAATTGTATATAGCCTAACTTTATTTGTGTTCACATTTTGTTTGGATTCTGTACCTCTGTTTCTCTGTTGTTTATGTATTATTTATTCTCAAACGGTGTCGTATAAGCCCACGCGGGCTGGGCGTGGTATGCGCACGACACGAAAATAAAGTTTCATTCATTCATTCATTCATTCATTCATTCATTCATTCATTCATTCATTCACAAACACGCACACATACACACACACACACACACACACTCACACTCACACACACACACACACACACACACGCACACACTACACACACAACACACACACGACACACACACACACACACACACACACACACAAATACATACATACACACAGGCACACACACACACAAATACATAGAAACACACAGGCACACACACACACGCACACACACACACGCGCGCGCGCGCACGCGCGTTCTGACGTACTTTGGTGTGATCACATTACGCAATATCGAGAAGAATATTGTCCTGCATATTGTTTGCTGATGTTGGCATTTGTAATTACCACATCGCCTCATCATAGCACAGCATTACATCCAAAGTACACCATTTCAGCACATCAGCCCATCATACAACATCACGCAAAACATATCGCATCATTACAGCATGCCACAGCACGCTACAACGCATCACCATAGTACAGCACAGCATACAGCATCACAACACACCATGGCACACCGCAACATTACAGCACAGCATCACAGCACACCATGGCACACCGCAACATTACAGCACAACATACTGCATCGCAATACACCACACCATCCTGTACATGTTTTTTTTTTCACCGTCACACCACACCTAAGACAACTACGACCCCAATCCACAGCACATCACACCGCATCGAAACTACTAAATTATGCCACACCGCACCACACCACACCACACCACACCACACCACACCACACCACACCGCACCACACCACACCACACCGTACATCATCACAGCACAGCGTAAACTGTATCACACAACACACCATATCACAGCACACCATGTCACAGCACACCATGTCACAGCATATCAAAACACAATGCATCACACCACCCCATGCCACACTACACTACACTACACTACACAGCACCTCACCAAACTACGCGCCACATCATCATCACACCAAGCTACGCTACATTACACCACGATGTGTCACACTACACCAGATTTCACGCGACATGGTATAACCATATTGTGGGCCTCTATTGGTGACGTGGTAGCGTGGGGCATCAAATAACGCCATCACCAGTTTTCTTACCGAAATCCAAATTTCCTTGAGAGCTCCAACCTGCCCTTCTCCAGGTAATTAAATTACCTGCGCGTTTCCGTGTATAAAATCAGCTTCTCCTGTTCGGAAACAATCTAAACCAACGCGCCATCATTACCACTCAAATCCAATCAACGTCTGATGACGCCCTATTAATTCTTCCCACCCCTCACACCGTGCGATTCTTCTCTCCTTTCTAATCCAATTCCCTTTGAAACAAGCGTACGCTCGATCCTCCCGCTTAATGTTCGCACCCAAAATCCCCAGCAAATGAAGCTCACTCCATTAATTTCAAATCAGGCTGTCTGAAAAGTGATGTTCGGGCCATCTCGCCGGGTGCTTATAGCTGGCGGGTTAAACCCTTGACCGGGAAATGGCTGTCCTAATGTCCGCCCGTGCTAATAAACGCCCAACCTGGGCAACTAAAAGTCTGACTCCAAGGCCCTGCTGCGATATTGGATGTGTCTTGTAGGAGACCTTTAATTCTCGTGATGGTGAGGGCTAATTTCTTAATGTGCCCCGACAGGAGCGTAGACAATAGACACATCAGTTGGATTAGAAAGTAATAATTGAGTTTGTATTAGAGATGTAAGCAGATTATGGTATTGTACGGCCAGCCGTGACAACTCATTACATGATGAATACTACAGCGTGGGTCGTGGGAGGGGAAACCCTTTACGCTTCAATTTGGGACGAAAATTGGGAGGCGAATGTAAAACATTGGCTGCTGCGCGCAGTTAAAAGGAGTAAGGGAATAAACGCAATTATGTGGGATTTGAAGAGATGAAAATTCCACACGCTTGGCTGGCGAGCTGTTATTTCGGGAACTAACAGAAAAATGTAATTTCGCGCCCAATCAGAATAATTGACAACATTTTGTTGGTCTCAGTGATGGTTAACTCGCAGCCTCGGGATTGATTTTGATGGATTCAGCTTTACTTTTCAAACATTTCTCACCGTTCTAGTTCAAGATCCTTCAGATGTAAGCTGTCGGCCCAGGGAACAACTTTGCCCAAACGTACCGCTCTAATGACTACTTAGATAACGTACCGGCTCTGGATGAAAATAGCCGTTGATGTCAATGGCAATTGCTAAATCTATATTTCATCCGCTCTTGGCATTGTGGTGCTAATGGTGGTGAAGTGCGTTAATTGTCTGCGGGTACAACCCCTGTCTGTTGAGTCGCGTTCGACCCCAGTACAGGGTCGCCGGAGAAGATTCGTACCAGCGGGAGACGTTTTGCCAGATAAACAGGCTTCCCCTACAGACCTGATGTGTTGGAGGTGAAAGAGGATATGACGCATAAATGCATCTTTTCTTCGTCCTCTGCGATTTCCTGCAAAGTTAGTTTCCTACGGGGCACAAAATTGACTTCATTAAAATCCACAACACGTCCTAACCTCTTGTACCGAGTTTTTCTTCACTCTCTCATCTCAACACTAGCAAGATTCATGACTAAACTTTCTGTCCTCTAGTGGCAAATTTGTATCAGTGGAAATCTAATAGATAATAGTCATAGAGCCATTATCCACAACACATCGGAATGAACATTATCACACAGCTATCCGCCCGCTCATTTTAGATATTCAATGTTGTTTCTTGAAAAACTTGATTTAAATAGTATCAAATTTAATGAAATAATGCTCAGTTTTGCGGAGACTTCAGAGGGATGTCTTACAGCACAGAATTCAGCACCACAGACAGGAATAACAACTACTGGCGGGGATCCACAAATCTCTAACGTTTTCCAAAGACAAGCTTCATGACATAGGATCTTGCTAACGGTGCTCTTTCTCCGCAATAGTAACAGACAGTCTGTAGTTGATGTCCTTTCCTACCCTCGTTTGGAACTTTACCATGCCATGGCATTATATTAAAACTAGAGAGAACTGTGCATACACTACTAGAGTGATCGGTGAGATCTATAAATCTACGGCGTTTGGATACCTGGCTCTTCACAGACGTGAACCGTCGATGAAAGTGAAAGTGATCTTGAACCAGTTTAGCTCATTGAAGAGCTAATCTTCCACTGGTCGTGACAGAGAAGACAGACGCTATGTACAGTATTTACAGGTTCGTTGTACCGGGGAAATTCCCCTAGCTCTTTTCGACAAGCACAATGAACAGTGCACCACGGTTAACGTCCCGTCCGAAGGACTGCGACCATAAACAGTAGCGTGCATGTCGGGTGAGCGACATCAGCCGGGATTCGAACTCCCAACCTCTTAGTCCAGAGGCAGGATCGCTAACCACTGGACTACGCACGCTATTAAAGGTGTGATGCCTAAAAGGTGTGAAGGCTTGCAACAGTGCGGAAGGCTACGGTGGGCTCATAGAGCTTCCCATTTTGTACAGCATCACCATAAGGCGGTAGAGAGCTTTGTGGTGGCTCATTTGGTAAATTGTCAGGAAACGCGACTACATCTAGAATCCATAATCCTTTTCTATTAATGACTTCTATACGTAAGTCCCATCAGAAAGATCCAGTCTGTCGTCTGACCACTTCTCTTCAATGTTGTTCGAAACCATCTAGACTGAGTGCTATTTTTCTCCGAAAAAATTGCAAAGGCTTTTCGAAGATGTTCACTCTATCCTTTAAAGGGCTTTAAAACATGAGCCATTTTGACAAATCTTGGAACTGTTTTTGATACAACTTTCATACTTTTAAAACCTTCAAACGGTTCTACGACTTTGAACACAGAAGACGAATGATTAGTATTTGAAGGCTACTTGACTGTAGAAAAGGAGCAGGCCTAGGCTCATATATTGTTTCGTTGATTTGATTTGTAAATAAACAAATAGGTGATGCTTTGTTAGTAATTCTCCGATAGATCTTGTAATAATGGCACATGGGATTGTACATGGGTTAGATGTGGTGGCCAGCTCTCCATGCCATTCATACTCTATGGCAGAGTCTACATGATGTAAATGTTGTTCGGTTTCAATATCCTACATTGTAGATGTATTGTGAAGATCACTTCGTAAGGAGAGCCAGCATGGCCTGGGTTTGTTTTGTGACGGGCTAGCGGTTTTCGGTTTTCCTTTGATTTAAGTTTGGTTCGTGTCTTTTCTTTAAGTTCTTACAATTGCATGCGGAAGAAGCCTTAAGTGACTGGGCTGCAGAAAGGATCGAAAAAGCAGTTAGCGTCTATTATGGAGTCGATACGCGCACTCACGCAGCGGTCCTCGGGCCAGTCGTTTGGCGACGATCGACTCTGGTCTGCACGAACACCGTCCGAACTTATCGGGATTCTTGTACTTGATAGAAATCTGCGAACGATTAGTACTCCCACCGGATAGCAGTTCCTGGGTTCTATGGAGCCAAGAGATTAGTTACTTTTGATCACAAACACTGACTAAAAGTCACGGTATCCCAGCTGTGGTACTGGGTTGATTCGAGTTAGTACTGACCCAACAATACATAAAATACAGCCTGGATCAAGTTGCATGGGGGAAAGGATCAGGTAGGATCCTGCTTCAGCTAGGTTTCCGCGGGTGGGTAGAGGTGTAGACACACCTGACACAGATACGACCTAGTACTACCACGTCTGTAAACCAGCCCTTCCACGAACAAAGCAAACATATGTTGACAGTACATACGTCTGACTGTAACATCATTGTGTCAATGCTCAACGGCCGTTGGTCATTTATCTGTGCATCTGACTATGAAGCGGGGAGACCCGGGTTCGATCCCGAGTTGTACCCGGGACATGTCTGGACATGCGCCCCGACGTTGTGCCCTTGAGAAAGGCACTTTACACGACTTTCCTCACTCCACCCAGATGTGAATGGGTACCTACGGTTGGGGAAAGCCGTATTGAGGTCACCTTGTGGCGCCGAATGGCAGCCGCACAGACCTATGCGACAGTTCCACAAAAAATATGTGTATCATGTGTATCAAATATGTGGAGCAAATATGTGTATCATGTGTATTATTTGATTGTTTGTCATTATTTATTGATTATTATATGATACCCTGCATCAATTCAGCCGTTAAAGGCTGCGACTGCACGGGTTTGGACAAATAATAACCATTTATTATTAGAAACATATAACACAGTTTTGTTTGCACGGGTAGGTTTGGTTCCAGAATCGACGAGCAAAGTGGAGAAAGCAGGAGAAATACAAGAAGGACAGTGATAAAGACAAGGGGAGTGACGGAGAGACAGGGGAGAGGAAAGAGTCCAGTAAGTCTCCACCAACTTCGTCATCCTCATCCGTACAGAAACCATCCACAACTTCAACTAACAGCATAAGGTAGGCCTTCTGTGTAAACATCAAATCAGAGAATGAATATTCAAAACTGAACAAGTAAGACCAAACGATCATACAGTAATAGTGCTCTCCAGAATCAGAAGTTCTGTTATATTAAATAAGAGATTGTAGACAAGACGAACCATGATTCATAATAATGTAACTGATCCTCATATTATCAACGCTATCTACAGTGAGAGGCGAGCTTTTCTACTCAAGAAAGGAAAAATGAATGTATTTGTGTTTGTATTGGTATTATCTATGTGCAATGCTCTTCGACGTAATGGCTATTTCCACTAACAGCAATAGTTTTCAAATGAAGAGACGACTCCACTGACACAAGCACCAACATTTGCTCGGGAGCAAATACAACATTTCAGTCCATCTCCCTTCTCATAAAATCACACCTGTGCAAAAGTAGAACATTCCAAAACTACTTCTGCTAGAAGTGAGTTCTCTGCCAAGTCATCCAATTTTAAATGACAATGACAATGATGTTTATTTGAACATTCATGCCCATGAGGGCTAAGCGCAGTACATGTAGTTTAAAAAAGTAGTATAAACACTGAAATTCTACAGAAGTAACACTACATACAGATGGATGAGTATATAAAGCTTACAATGATTAGGCCACACCTTAATTTTATGAATGACATCCTCTGAAGACACTCGTGCGCGCGGGCGAATAAAAAAAAAATTCCGGCCAAAAATAAAAATGCTACTAAACCACGGGAATACAAAGCTGTTATTGTGAATTAGCAGCAGTACATAGCGACGTATACGACAAGCCGGCACATGCTGGCTTTTTGTGAAATTTATGAATCGGCCCTGTACATATGTACTGAGTTCTTGAGTCGTGGAGCTTCGGCAGCCTGGGTGCCATCCTCCAGAGTTACCACCGGCTCCGTATTGTCGCTAACTACCATGGAGTACCCAGGCCTAGAGCCAGGCCAGAGCCTCGGAGGACGTAATCTTTCTTTTTTTTGAACAGACGAAAATCAATGCGCGCGCGGATGTCATCCATAGAATTAAGTCGGTGTGGCCTTATATAGTTTGCGTGTTTCTGTCCTCTTTTTAAACAGGTATATACGAACTCAAAGACTTTTTGCTGTGCAGTATTGTTAGGGGATGTCATTATGTACACAAATAGATCTTCTTTTACTAACTGTTTACATCGTGTGTCTAAATTCAGGGCACCTATAAAAGAATTACGCATGTCTCTGTATAGTCTACAGTTTAACATAAAGTGATTTTCATCTTCTAACCGGTTGTAGTCACAAAGTGTACACAGTCTGTCGTTCGGTTGTGTCCTCCTACTTCAATGTGTAGTTGCTATCGCTAATTCTTAATTTGCCCATGGCTCGGCGTTGGCTAAAGTTACACATATTTAAGTATTCTTCTCTTTCGTAAGAGTGTTTGAACTTTTTGTACGTTCTTAGTTTGTTGCCTTGGTTTTCGTTTTTAGCATTAAAGTTCAGTTCTGAGGGTTTGTAGAAATATATGTTTTAGTCTTTGTGTCACTTCTGTCTGAACTGATGGTAAATTACGGCCTTGGTTTGATAGTAGGTAGCTATAACCGGACTGACAAATTTCAGGTCGACGGTCATTTGGCCCCAAAGGAAGAAGTTGATGCACTTTAAGAAATGACAGGAGAAGTAGAAGAAGAAGACCCCCCCCCCCATTTAACAGTCGTACCCGGGAATTCATGCCGTAACTTGAGTTGTTGGGAGTTCGAATCCCGGCTGTTGTCACTCACCCGACATGCACGCTACTGTTTAGGGTCACATTCCTTATAGGATGGGACGTTAAGCCGTGGTCCACTGTTCATTGTGCTTGTCGAAAAGAGCTAGGGGAATTTCCCAGGTACAAAGAACCTGTAAACACTGTACATAGCGTCTGTCTTCTCTGTTACGACCAGTGGAGATTAGCTCTTCAATGAGCTAAACTGGTTCGAGATCACTTTCTTTCTTTCGAGCTGTCCGAAGTGTTTTCAAGATACTGGGCGCGATTTGTACGATGCCACTTCGCAGAGTACTATCATGGTAAATAACTTGCATCCTATGGTATGGGTGGAATATAAAAGAAAAATATTTCAATCTATACCTATGGTATGGACTGAAATAGATAGGACCAATTGGTCGACAGAAATACGATTTCATTTAAAAGTCCTGCTAAAAGTGAAGAGGCGGTTGACAGACGTGTTTTAGCCTTGGCTGGAGAGTGTGGGACGTCCGCTCTGCCCAAGGACAGCATGTGAAAACATAACAGTACTCTCTCTCTCTCTTTGTTTGTTTGACCCTTTATTTCAACTCGATCTGTAACTGTGTTACATGCTCTAATCGGCCGCTATTTCGGCCGCTTTTCATAGAGGTCGAGCGTGGAGGAGTGTCAGGGGGTCATAACATAAATACTACTTGCTCACAAATGAAAACACAAAATAATAATTGTTGTACACAGGGTAACTCACACAAAGTAAATAAATAAATAAATGACAATAACTAATAAATATCTCATAAAATGTTGTGTCCAAAGTCGTTCAGTCAAAGTCAGTTACGATGCTAGCAGTCTTTTAAAGGTGCCAAGAGTAGGTGCTGCTCTAACATGCTGTGGAAGAGCGTTCCATACAAGGGAGCCAGAGTAGGCTAGGGATCTCCGGTATATTTCTCTCAAAGCATCGGTACCGCAAGGAGATCATTCGCGCTTTGTCTGGTGCTTCTGGTAGCTCTATCCCTACAGTAGGTGAACATCCGGCGCATGTACATCTCTAACGTCTAGTTTGTGCTTGATAGTTATAGAATTATGTGGCTATATCCTTCCTCTTATCCGTATGTTATTTTTTGTTATCACTTTGTTTTTATTTTTCAGAAGCGCATATTCTTTGATTCCTTATTTGAAGTCCGAATCATGCCGGGCTTTGTTCCGAACCACCATCTAAATCATTCATAGCAGAAAAGTTCGCTTTTCATTACTTCCAGTCAAATAGTCGGATTATCCGGATCATTTTGATCGTGAGGTTGTATTTACAAATCCGTCTTCAATGGAACTGAAAATGGGAGAATCGGGGGATAGATTGGTTGGGCGTTGCAATATGTATTTGATCACTCATGATGGTTCTAAGGGAAAGATTGGAATACATTCTATGTTAGGCTATTCATGCATGTGTGCTTGACTGGATATGTTGGACAGACCTAAGAGTAATAGCTTCCGTACACATATTAATGCATTAAAGAATCATTCAGGCGCCCCTCGATCTGTTGTTAATATGTCGCCGTCTGGGGTTTTCCATCAGTGAACTAGAGGTCGGAGATCTCATGTCTTCGTCAGAGGTACATCGTTATAGAGAAATGAACATGTGTATTCTTTACTTTTTTAAAAATAAATTTGGTCTAGAGTAAAAAAAAAATCTCCGTACTTTTCTTATGTTACGGAGCACCCTGAAAGGGTTCGCCACAGATTTTACAGACGCGCCGTCACCCCTGTTAGCCCCCCCCCCTAAGTTATTTGATTTTGGACTGTTACTGGAAAAAAACTGTTACAAGAATTTCTGCTTCCTGTATTATGATGAAAGTGTCACGACATTGTCGCAAAATATAATAAGAGAAGATATGATGAAAGGAAAGAATCAGAACAGGGCGACTACTGCTGTCTTGTTGATTTATTTTTATGAAGAATAGAAGACTTGTTTCTTGTTACACTGTGTTCTTTTATTCAATTTGTGTCTTAACATTTGTATTTCTACAGTTAGTATATTTCAAATCTAGGCATCTTGTTTTTCGGCCCCTCTTGTTTTTATAGCGCTTTCGCATTTAGGGAAAAAACCGGTAATGGACTGTCCCATTCAAATGCATGAAAAACATGTAAGAAAGAAGGTGTGAAAAGTCACCTGCCTGAGTGAAACCGCCTCAAAAGCTCGGGCCACTAAACTGTTCATTTTGTTAATGTAAAAATATTCTATACAGTTAAAGGCATCTAAACGCTAAGCAGAACTTTCAGAAATGCCCTTTGACCTCTCTCATCAGCTGATGATGGCATGCTTCTTTTGCGACCTGGACACCCCAAACATGGCCCAAACTCCGATCCATTTTTTTACATAATCAAATGCAAATAACCCTTACCTATAACATCCAGCTCCAAAAAAAGCAACAGTTCCCAACATTAAGACATTTACACTATTCGTGTACGCCCATTAAACTTAAGGTCTCCACTTGACGTCATCCATAACAATTACTTGGTGTGGCCGTAGGAAATAACCTGACGCATCCGATTATGGGGTTTTCCAAGCAGAGGTTGGTGGAGGAAGAACCTTTAAACACAAAAGGTCGTCTGAAGTGACGTAGGGACCCTCCACGAAGCCCGTTTTCGAACTTAGTCTTGGTCTTTACAACTGTAACCTGCCTACCAAAAATAATGAATGTCCATGTACATTTACTCAAGTTATTTTGCTTACAAGCGAAAAACACAAAATGGCCACTGCCTAACATAGAAACCTCCCACGAAACCCAAATTTGCACGTGGCTTTGGTCTTTACAACGGTAACCTGCCTGCCAAAAATCATGAAAATCAAACCACGCCTTAAAGAGTTATGCCACTAAATCCACAGTCTCCCACACACAAAAAAACGGAACGATTCCATAGTCTTCTTGACGAAGACAAGAAAAAGCACTTCTTTCTAGTTAACGCTGGAGCCATAACTACATTGAGAGATGCAATAGCGAATTGTGAAGAAATCCACATTCAGACGACTATACAACGACCTACACCAGCCAATACCACTTTATTTGCGTGTATACTAAAACAAACTATAAATATGCCATAGTATCTAGTTAGCTACCCATAGTATGCCATGATTCATATACGAAGATGACATTCATGCGCTCAGTGTCATAAAAGTCTTTGCTTCAAACAAAACTAGAGAAGTAACATTTGCAAAGCAAATGCATAATGTTTACCTTCAGACATGGTCTGCTCTGTTAATTCTTACACAAACACATTCAAATACATTGTACTACTAGTATATGGTGACAGGAGCAGAGCAGACCATGAAATTGCAACATTATGTAACCCAACACCAGTCACCATGGTGACAGACGTCAACAAATCATGTCATTGGCCAGGTCATAGGTCACTGCTTGGAGAAGAAGAAGAGGAAGAAACGGAGCAAAAACTATATGTTTTCCTATCCTTCGATAAACATAAAAACTAGCCTGGCAGGGCAGACAGCATAATGACATCAACGGTTGATACAGCTGCACTTCATACAGGGTTATCTAAAGAGTAAAACAGACTTCATTTTTAACTCTATGGCTGGGTGTTCTTTGGAAAGTCATTGTTTTAATGGTTTCCCTCAACGCATTCACCATTTGTCAATTGTATTCTACAGTACTTTTCTCTCCTTGCCCTTTAATAAAAACTTGTAAACTTTTACAAAATAGTCAAAGGCTTTGCAGTAAAATGCTTACAAGAATTAGTACCACTACAAACCCATGACCCCACCCATTATAGTCTCCGCACTGACCGGAATTACGGCCTGATTCCTACTAAAACTGAGAAATACAAAAGGCTCTTCTCTTGTAATCTTTTTCCTACAGGCCAGAAACCAGCTATCCAACTTGATTTGATTTATGATTTATTGAAATTGCAACAGTGCAATACACGTGGGATAAAGGCAGCTCTTGCTGGTGTTGATCCCACATGTAGAAACGAATACTGGAAGGACAATACTCATTTTCTCTTGAGTTTAGTGTAGGAACGTCGTGTTAAGTGTCTTTCCCAGGGCACATGATCGGTGGCATGTCAGGACTCGAACCCGGGACCTCTTGGTTCTGAGTCGAGCACGCTGCCATTGCGCCACACGACCCCACCCTGACTTACCAGACTTAGACTCAACTTCATCAGCTAGACTTTCATCTGTTCCATCCTCGATGTAATAGCTGTGACGTAACATTACTTCCTTCACTGTCCAGTGTATATCGACGAACAACTCGACGTGTTATCATTCTTAAACAATACCCTGCCATTTGACATAACGATATGTTTATTTACAAATTCATGCCCGACACAATGTATACCACATACAAACAGTGCAATGGTGACAAGAGGAGCAATTATTCTATGAATTGTTATAGAATATAATTTAAACTTTTGACTTCTTTTTTGGAAGATGTGGAAGGGTCCCATTTTCTGCAATGAATGGGTTGTAGGAGGTGAACAGGGTTGTAGCTTTCTTTTCGTCAGTAAACTGCACCTGGAAGTTTTGGGTTAAATAGCTCTTTTCTTTCCTGATCGTTAAAGGGCCAGTTGAGATAAAATGTATTTCGTCTTCCATCGCCTTTGACATCCAGTATTTACACATTCTTTCCCCTAAAGGTAACTTTTGCACTGCCCTTTCTCGATTTCAAGAGGGTGGGTGCTAATTCTAATTTTGCTAATTGCTGATCTTAGCTCAAATTTATCTATGCTAACAATAATTTTACAAATTTTGCTCATTGCTGATCTTAGCTCAAATGTATCTAGTAACAATAATTTTACATTGTAATTGTATAGTCATAGAATTCCAAAAAAAAAGAATAACTAATATTATCTGATATTTCATTTACATTTCATTTATTGTAACCAAGATTTCTTATTGCTACACGAATGGATATATCTTACTCTGTTGGATAAATGCCAAGCTCTGCTCTACAATCCAGGTTACATAAATTTCTGTGTACGCTTAAGAATCTTTTTAGAAAACGCGGTTCTGTGTAATTTCAATTGGAAAGTTATCATTTAAATCGACTTTGACCCCCAAAATAAATAACATGTTACCACTGGCAATACTTAATGTTCAACTCTTTTACCAAGTCCTAAGAAAATATGCGTGTAACAAAAATGATTAATCTAATAGTGATGTCAGGTGTCATTTTTGTCACATGTTTCCGAATGGAAATTTTCTTGAAACAAAACGAATTTGTTGATCATCAATTAGGTCACATCTGGGCCTGTCATCTTATTTGGCTGGGACGATGCAGGACAAATTTGTCTTTTATATCTCAACATTTCCTTACTCCTTCCGTAGTTGTGGCGTCGGGTGGTGTAGTGGTTATAGAGCGTTTGACCATGAAACGGGGAGACCCGGGTTCAATCCCGAGTTGTACCCGGGACATGTCTTGACATGCGCCCGACGTTGTGCCCTTGGGAAAGGCACTTTACACGACTTTCCTCACTCCACCCAGGTGTGAATGGGTACCTAACTTCAGTTGGGGAAAGTCGTATTGAGGTCACCTTGTGGCGCCGAATGGCAGCCGCACAGACCCTTGCGACAGTTCCACAAAAAAAGATTGTGGAGCAAATATGTGTATCATGTGTATTATTTGATTGTTGGTCATTATTTATTAATTATTATGTGATACCCTGCATCAGTTCAGCCGTTAAAGTCTGCTATTTGACGGGTACTATTTGGATAATAATAACCATTTATTCATTTTATTATTTAGTTCCAGTTTTCGACCATGTGAAGTTGGAAACTCAGTGACGTCACCAAAGTTGTTCCATCGTCCCCAGGCTGCTTTCTCCATGCTCCCGTACCCAGGCGGTGAGTATGAACATGTTTATTATCGTCACTTTTCTCCATCACTGCAGCTAGGGCCACACCATTTTAATTTCTTGGTTAACGGATTGTTCTAGGAAAATAATGGAGCGGGCGGGCGAATAAAAAATAAATGTAAAAACAGGCCTAGGCCTATTCTGGCCCAAAATGGTACGATAGGAGCCATGAAATCAACACACCAGGCTGGTTTGAAATTTAAACAATGACTTTTGAACTTTTAATGATACCTCACCTCACCGGTCCCATGATACCACTGCATTGAAAGATGGAATAACTGTGACAACTAGGAAGAAAATAACTGTTTCCAACTGTTCAGGGCAAAATATGAGCATTTTGTAGTTGATTCTGAATTTTTTTTTTTTGCAAATCAGAAAAAAATGAAGCGGGCGAATCCGTTAACCAAGAAATTAGATTTGTGTGGCCTTAAGGAAGGAAAAGAAACTGAGATGAGTGGAATGAGAGAAAATAACGCAAGACTTGACTGAATGCGAGACTTGAGAGAGACTAGACATTATAACCTTTGAGACAAACAAGACGGAAAAAATTTTTTCTAAGGCCACACCGCCTTAATTTTATGGTTGACATCCTCCGAAGACCACCAAACTAGTGCACGCGGGCGAATAAAAAAAATACGGCCAAAAATGAAAATGGTACTAAACCACAGGAATACAAAGCTGGTATTGTGAATTTGCAGCAGTACATAGCGACATCTACGACAAGCCGGCCCATGCTGGATTTTTTTATTGGAATTCATGAATCGAGTTCTTGAGTCCTGGAGCTTCGATAGCCTGGGTGCCCGGCTCCGTATTGTCGCTAACTACCATGGACTACCCAGGCCTAGAGCCAGGCCAGAGCCTCGGTGGACGTGATTCTTTTTTTGAGAACAGGCGAAAATCAATGCGCGCGTGGATGTCATCCATAACATTAAGGCGGTGTGGCCTAACCTGGAAACAATTACATCTCTCTTAGTCAGACATAATTATTCATTGACCGTTGTAGAAAGCATTCCTCAACGTATGGGCGTTGTGTCCGCTAACTCATGGAAAGCAAGTCACTAATGCTGACGTCCTCGCAATGTGTTGAATACTTCTATTTCTTGAGACTAGGGGCGCTAGCGTCATTTCGACATGCCTTACCCATAAAATAGAGATCAAAGTTTCCCCATGTGTAATAAAGACTAAGCTTTAACTTCCAACACTTAGATTACAGAATTGGGACTTACCCAAATTCTCGGTTGACTCCATCAACCTTGTTCACGGAATGGACCCTTCTTGGGACGTGACGTCAGAGACACGTGACCGTAGTAGCGGGTCATACGTGCCAGATAACTTGTGTCGCCCCCCGTCTCTGTTCAGGGTAGGTCTGTGAGCTCTTATATAGACCGCCTCCTTCACTCCTCTTGCAAAGACGTCCGATTCAGAATCAAGGATTTTGAGCCCTTCCAGAGATACTGAATGTCCCAGAGATTCAATGTGAATATGTTGTGAGACCTCTGAACAAGGTTGATGGAGTCAACCGAAAAAATTTGGGGTAAGTCCCAATTCCGTAATCTAAGTGTTGGAAGTTAAAGCTTAGTCCTTATCTCATAATCACTTGTACCAACACAGATGAACTTTCATGCTAAGTTTCCTCATGTGTTTCATATGTTTCTCACGCCATGAGAAGCATAGAAGATTCGTGGTGTTTGGAGTATCGAATAGTACCTACCTTTTCTTGCATTTACCTCTGTTGGGAAATCCAACTTTTCGAGTCACGAATGCCTTCCTAAAAGTACAGGGGAAGTTTCGGTCTGTATCTAGAATTATTCTTACAGGAAACTACCATTAAAAATCATACCCCAATATGTTGACAACAGTGCTATCGTTTGATAATGATTGCTGATGGTTTACATACATTGTGAGGAAAATAGTCAAGTCAAGTCAAGCTTATTGCGCAACAATTGCATTGGATGCAATGTATGGCAAATAATACTCAATAACTATAAACTATTTCTACTAGTGTACTAATCTAACTTCAATGCATGTATATATGTTATAATGGAATGTTACACTTCACATTGCTGTGACATTGTTTCCCTTTTGTATAGCATTATGTACATATTGGTCTAGGTAAACAGATACAGAGTCGGGGCATGATGACAGCATGTTGAAAATTTCTCTACTTGTCCCAGGTAGTGTTATTTTATTCTTACAAGATACTATTAGTTTTTTTCCTTTCTTCGCTTTCTTCGCTATAGTAGGGACATATCATTACAAAATGGTACTCATCTTCAACTTTGTCTTATATGCGTGTGTTCATTACAACGCTTAAGTATGCGGAGTGCGTCCCTGTGCGGTGTGCCACGTTAGGCTGTCTCCTGCCGCCGGTGAAAGGGGTGGATGTGGATGGCGAGACAGAATAAAGTTTATTCACTGAGTAATTTTCTCATTATACGGCCGGAGATTCCATGTATCGAGGTATTGGGTTATTACCAACAACTCTATTACACCGGGAATGGCAATAAAGTCATGGAAGGAGTCATATGACGGCACGAGATAATACAATATCGGAAAGATATCGCCAAAATGTGGCTTTTGATTTATGATCGATTTGAAAAGTATCCCTTTCCTACGGTTAGATATTAATAAGTTCGTTAATATTAACACCAGGTAATGTCTCTCATTTCGGGCCTGCGTTACGAGAAATCCCGCCCGTTATGACGTCCCTTATCACGCCGGACAGGGGATTTCGCTCGCGGGGATTCGGGCGCCGAGAGGAGATGGAAGTATTCATTAGCCAACAAACCCAATAGTGGTGATTATGACCCCAATTATTAGATTTTCCTATTGGTAGTGTTGTAAAACGGGCAGGTGATGAATGGCGGTAATTGGTCAGGGGATCGCGGCGCCGATAGTTTTCTTCTGCTTCTCGTCTGAACTAATGGCCGCACAGCAAAGGCCCTCTAGGTGGCACAGCATACAACGTAGTGAGGAACGGATGAAAATATCATAGCTTTCAGCACCAATTGTCTCTATAGATAACGGTACATTTATTTTATATATTTTCTGTATTTTCTGGTGTTTAGATGGATTGACAGTCCCATAGTATGGTGACATAAACTTTATTTGTCTCATGCACTCATCTATGTTAGTAAAAGTCAGTGAGGCAAGAATTCAACTGCAACTTTGTAATGAAATTCAACTTACGCAAATTTCTAAATAGTGTTTGTTTTGACAGTTTGACTCGGCCTACAAACTTGAAGACAATAGTGATGCAATCTGACAATCAAATGGATATATTATAAGTGTTGTAGTTGCCAGGAATTGTATATGGACGATTGCATGTGTGGTGAGAGCGAATTTCTAGATCAAGCACGTTTGGAGAAAAATGAACTACTCTTTTTACCATATCCTGTTGTGCAAAGTTGGGATCAGAGCCGGCTCGTTTCGTTACAAAAAGCTCTGACCATATGGGGCCTTTCCCGTCATCTGCAATAAATCGAAAAGGTTTGGGGTCTTTGCTCTGTAGTTAACCCCTAGGTCACGCCCGGACGATCATAGCGTCGTGCCGTCATCCCAACATTTTCCTGGTGGTTTCCGACCAAATCCCGTCTCAATATCATTTCATGGAGCTCTAAGTCAAATATAGTGCCATCTTGGAACATATTTTAGTTAGTCCACACAGGTTGACATGCGCAATCGCTCTAAAACAATATATAAAGTACAAGAGACGACATGAATATAGCGGAGATTTTTACCACACACAAACCGTGTGCAAGCAAAAAGTAGAAAATAGAATCACTAGTACTTTAATTATGTTTTACCTTCTCCAAGAGGGTTCTGTTTTCGGTAGCGTTCGTGTATTTGTGTGTATTTGTGTGTGTGTGTGTGTGTGTGTGTGTGTGTGTGTGTGTGTGTATGTGTGTGTTTGTGTGTGTATTTGTGTGCGTGTGTGTGTGTGTGTGTGTGTGTGTTGAATCTGACAACAAATAGAGAATAATTTTTTGGAATGAATTGTTTGTAACGTTATAGTGGTAACTCTGTATGATGCTGTAACGTTACAAACTACATGTTCCATGTTGAAAAGAACACAAAATATTCTCTATTTGTTGTCAGAACCATAGTAATTTCATTACAGTTGAGCATAAAATGCCCCGACACCTCCAAACACAGTGACAAACAAGTTGTTTAACGTCACCAGGATCATTCCGATGCCTTCATGTCCTATGCAAATGAAGTTAGACCCCCTGTTTTCGCGTTGCATTCTGGAGATGGGAAACTGGTGAATGCGACACCTTCGACTTATATTATACCACTAACAACGCGTAGACAAATTTGTAATTTGCCGATTAGTATTGGGATTAATTACGGAGCATGATGTTTAAAGATCTATAGTAGTTATATTAATTCTGTATAGTAGTTATATTAAAGCATGTACAGAGACTATTCTACTCTATAGCTCTGAATCATGGGCTATGAATGCTGCCTAGAGCAAGAAACTAGATGGTACATATACAAGAATGTTAAGAACAGTGTATAATGTTTCATGGAGACAACATGTAACAAACAAACAACTCTATGGCTCTCTCCCGCCCATTTCACCTGTAGTCAGACGACGTAGACTCGCCCTGGCAGGGCATGTTGTTCGTAGTACAGTGGCTTCCTACTGGGAGACGTAGAGTGGGACGTCCTTATACTACACTTTTGTCCATGCTAGAGAGACACTGGTCTCGCAGGGACTGCATTAGTGTCTGCTATGAGGGATAGGAGTAACTGGAGTAACTTTATCAAGTGTATCTCACCGAATTAATATAATCCGGAGGCATGATGAAGATGATTAATTCTGTGCGATTTTTCTCTATATAATAGGATCCCCGGTCTGTAGCTATTGTGTTGCTGGTCATGCGGACTGCGCATGTGCCCTGGGCTGCTCCTTCCCGTGCACACAGGACTACCGGTCCTCCAGTATCGCCACACTCCGTATGAAAGCGCGGGAACACTCGCAGGCGATGCAGCAGTCGGCAGCCGCGGACACGCAGCCTCTGGACGGGACCCGGCCCGACACGGAGCGCAGAAGTCCGCCTGGGAAGCCGCAGACGCACGAGCAGCCAGAGGAGCCCGGGAGCGAGGATTCAATACAAGAGCAGCCAAAGCAATAACGTCTTTAATGCATTTCATCTTGTACAGATCTAGATATCCCGAGATGGAACATTCCTGTCTACTATACTTTAGGCCACGCCAATTTAATGTGTTGGTTCTCGGATTTTTTCAGGAAAAATATGAAGCGACAGGGCGAAAAAATAAATAAATAAAAACAGGTCTAGGCATCCTATTACAGCCTCAAATGCAACGATAGGAGCCATGACGTCAACACAAAAGTCTGGGTCAATATTTAAACAATGAATTTTGAACTTTTAATCAAACCACATTGATAGATGGAAAAACTGTTACAATTAGGAAGAAGTGTTGGGGGTAAAATATGAGCATTTTTGAGTTGATTCAGAACCAGAATCTTTTTTTTTTTTTGCAAATCAGAAAGAAACGAAGAGGCGAATCCGAGAACCAACAAATTAAGATGGTGTCGCCTTAACCGTTATGAATCGAATCTCCGTGTCCCACTTGCCTACATCTCTGCAGAGGTTGACAAAATGCTTTTAGGTTCCGGTTTGGAATTACTAGTAAATTTGACGTAATCCCAGAAAATAAGACGCAAATAAACCATACTTTTTCTTTGGTTTTGAGCTCTAGATTGTTCGGCTATCGCGTTATCTTTGTATGATCTTTTTTACCTCCCGAAAATTCCGTTTATCGTTTTATGGTGGCACAGTGCTGGTCGTCCAGCGAATGTGTCCTATGAGAGCGCGATAACGGTAATGCGGCCAGTCGGTACAGTCTATGTGCATTGGGATCGTGGAAAACGTATGCTCTATATTATCTTTTTATTATTAGGCCATGTGATTTGATTATATGGATGACATCCGCTGGGAACCCCAAAACTGATGCGAGCGTTCGAATAAAAAAAAGTTTGGCAAAAAAAAGTTGCCTACATTATGAAATCCAGGTGGCCATGAAGGTTGAACAAATGACAGAGTGTATTTTGTAAGTCTGCGACATAAGTATCGTTTTCCAATTTTTTTCTTCAATTTACAGCATATGAATTTGCTCATTTTCTAGCTACCTTAAACGATTTACAGTATGGTCGAAAACGGAGAAAATTCATGGGCGCGCGGATGTCATCCATGTAATCAAATCAATGGCCTTACAAAGAGAAAATATCAATTTTATGACCGTGTCAGTCAGTACAATCCTAAGAAAATCTACCTTTTCCATGCAGCGGCCTGAGAAAAAACTTGTTGTTTTGTTTAACGTTGAACGTAATTTTTCCCAAAATAACGTGTCCACTGAGCATGAGTCATCAGAAAAGTACGACTTTCCATCGCAAACCATTGAACTGTCTGCACTAGCCCCTTTCTAATCGCCCAAGTCATCACAATGTTCTGAACCGTGACATTCTGTACGTATAATGGTAATATTACAGTCGAATGGATTGTCAGTATTTGCGATCAGCAGTGAACAAAGGATTTCGGCCTCCTACTTAAGCCTACTTCCTTATAGGCAGTACCAACATATTATCATAAAAGTTCATCTGTGTTGGTAGTTACATGTTTAAAGTTAAAACTTTTGATCCAACACAAAGAAATCTCTCACCTAGAGCTTTCGTCACTCTGGTCTACCGCAGTAGACTGACCCAGTGAAGCTTGTCACGTGGCTTCTTTGAAGTGTGACGTCACACGGGGTCAAAGGTATCTGGTAGACGATGTCGTCCCCCGTCGCGGCTCAATGTCGGGTGATGTATATGGCCCTGATGTATATGGCTTCCTTCCCCTCTCAAGAAATAGTCCTGTTCAGTGTCCAAAATCCTTGGTGACTCTATGTGGATGTGTTGTCTACCAGATACCTTTGACCCAGTGTTGACGTCACACTTCAAAGAAGCCACATGACAAGCTTCACTGGGTCAGTCTACTGAGGAAGACCAGAGTGACTGGTCGAAAGCTCTATAGCTAGGTGAGAGAATTTTTTTTGTGTTGGACCAAAAGTTTTAACTTTAAACAGTATCAACATATGTCACGATCTGTTGACTTTCTGGCAAGATGGGACCGTGGATCGATTGCTTATAGGTAAGAAAGGAAAGGACAGAATGACAGCAGTCTGCAATGGATATCACAGTGAAAAACACCGTTCTTCCTATGCAGAGTTAGTACTTATCATCGTGCATGTGAAAAAGAGAAAATCAAATGTCACATTGACATGCTGGTGCGTTACACCTAAGGGCGGTTATACCAGCTATACCGATACAGGCATGCTTAGAAATGGGATGAATGGAACGAATGAAAATACAGACTACAGGCTGTACTGCATCATCTTGGATGGGTAAAAAACCCAATGACAGCTTTAACCAGAACAAGCAAGCTGAACGGAGGCGTGCTAAAACCGATTATGCAGTAGTTTGGCTGATTGACATTGCAATTATATACTTATGGGAAAGTGTCATAAAGGCGGTGACTTGTCCATCTGTAATTGATCACAACACACAGTTAGGAATCCAGCTGTAAGGTAAAATGTAGATTCTGTATTTTGTCATCAAGCGCTGACATCATGTGTTTCGGAACCATTCTACCAGAGTACCTTCATTTCCATACAACGACACTTGTTTTGGAGGGAGAAGACATGGACGTGTGGAATTAAAAATCATCAATATACCAACGATTTTGTGAGACTTGGTCTGCGTGTCTTTGTGTTACACCAAACCGCACCACAATCACCCAGTATCACATATCAGGGCCTGGTACGACTTGTATGTCATCTACTTTCATTCCGGCTAAATCTTTGTAAATCTCACACCAGCTGCAATGCTACGATATCTGGGTCTTCATAGTCTTCGTCGTCCACAGTTTCCACGATGGTGACCTGTCCGGTGGCCAGCTCCCTGCGTGCCGGCTGTCTGGCGTGTGGAGGCCACCTGGCCAGCAGGAGCTCACACAGTCCGCCCGGCATCACCGCGATGTTGTAGTTGTTTCCGAGGGAAATCTATCGTGAAGAAAAAAAAAGGTCATGATTTTACTTTGTTGGCATTCCTACACATTCCGTTAGGCCACAGCAAGTAATGTTTATGGATGACATCAGCGCGCGCATTGATTTTCGCCTGATTTTGGAGAAAAAAAACAAGAAATTTTGTTACCCTCTGACAGTGGTCAACATGCCGAAAATGGGCAAGGATGCCTGCTGCCATGCCGGAATGTGGATGGCAGATGAATATGAAGAGGAGACAAGACAAGGCTCTGATTTAATGTTGTGTTTCTTACTTTGATGCAGTGATATGCGATGTTGGCTGCGTATTGTGATGTTCCTACTGAATCAAAACCATTTGTACAATGATTGAGTCAACATTTTACATTGTAGGAACCTTTTTTTTCGGCCCGCCTTGTTTTTTTCGCCCGCTCGCATTAGATTTGGTATCTGCGGAGGATGTCATCCATAAAATTTACTTGCTGTGGCCTTATGACAATGACGTCTGCCCTATGCTACATTTCGGACTACGTACATACATACGTCTACTACATTTACATCTACCACGACTTTAGCTGGTGTGTTACGCCGAAAGGCGGTTATACCGGCTATACAGATACAGATACAGACTTAAAAATATGGCATACATGAATATTGCAATTGAGGCCTGTAGTGATAAGTAATCTTTCTCAAATGTTTTAGATCGCTATGCACGCTTGTGGACGTTTGGAATCGTTACGAAAGCTTTGTAGTCTGCATTACGTCGTTTTATAGACCGCAGTGTGTTGTACATGTAGCTCTGTCGGAATGTATCACATGGTTGTATACTCGTCGTTATTCTCGCGAGGCTAAAACATCTCTGGCATATTATCATGAAAGTTCGTCTGTGTTGGTAGTAATCATAGTAAAACGTCAAACTTTTTTTTGTAATTTTTATTGCATTTCAAAAAAAGATACATAACACATACAGAAAAACAAAAGGGCAAAGTTCAAGACTAAAAGTTTAACTTTATTCCAACACACAGTTTACAGAGAGATCAAATTTTCAACGACCACTGTCGCCTTCATCAGGATAATGAATGACCAATCACTTCACAACGTGATCTCGCGAGAGTTACGGTTTACAAACACGTGACCTTATTCACACGAGACTTTACTGATACGTGACGTAAGCAATTGATCAAAAGTGCCAGGTAGTTTATATCGTCCACCATCTTAAGTGAAGGCTGAATCTCTGGCATATTTGATGGAAACTTTTCACACGATGACCCCTGACTGAATAAAATCATGAGCGCCATACGAACGAGTACATGTACATCAGGGTTCAGTACGTGTGAGCAAGGCCGAAGAAAGTTTGCAGTTCATTTCTGTCCACCTTTTCAAAACATTATCTTTTCGAATACTCAGACAGAATTGATATGGAAAGGGCAGAATATACAGGAAGCTGTGAGCAGACTGAATTCGGATAAATATAATCCTTGCTTAGTACGTGCACGCTTTACCTAAGGCCACATCGACTTAATTTTATGGATGACATCCAGGCGCGCATTGATTTTCGCCTGTTCTCAAAAAAAAAAAGACCACGTCCTCCGAGGCTCTAGCCTGGCTCTAGGCATGGGCAGTCCATGGTAGTTATTGACAATGCAGAGCCGGTGGTACCTCTAGAGGATGGCACCCAGGCTACCGAAGCTCAACGACTCGAGAACTTAGTACATACGTACAGTGCAGATTCATAAATTCCGCAAAAAGTCAGTAAGTGCCGGCAAATTCACAATACTAGCTTTTAGCCATTTGTATTCATGCGATTTAGGAGCATTTTTTGGGGGGCCGGAATTTTTTTTCTATTCGCCCGCGCGCACTAGTCTGGGGGTCTTCATAGGATGTCATCCATAAAATAAAGTCGGTGTGGCCTAACATAGAATACCTACATTTGCCGACAGGTACGATCAAGTGGAGTTACCCGAACACTACAAACATAAACATATAATTACCTGTGTGAGACATGGACAAGCGCTGGGGTCCGACATGACGTGTACCAGCCCGTCTATCGTCTCCTTTCGCAGGTAATTTCCAACCAAGTCCAAACTCTGGAGGGCCTGCATTTTCTGCAGAGTCGGTAGGAGGCGCTGCAGTCCCTGTAAGGCCGTAGGAAAATATACATGGCAAGATGTGCACAAAAGTCATTAGAATTTCTTACGGCTTTTCTACCAGAGAAAAGGAAAATAGGTGTACTTGGACCACACAGCGAAAATGTTTTGAAAGATACTGTGATGTGGTGTTTTATTCAAACTATTTTCTGGTCATTTTTTTTTTATTGTAGAAAGTTGAATCAACCCAATCCCATAGCAAACTGATAGCTGTGGGGCAAAATGCGATATTGCTGACTTGTTCGTATTGTAGGCTAGTTCTATAGTTACATGTATTGTTGGTACCAAAACATAAACGGACCTGAGTATGAAATAATGACGATGAAAATGTGCTAAGAAATGGCAGTGAATGTTAATATCAGACAAATTTTCTCATCAAGAATATTTCGTTTTGGAGCTGTAAAATTGCATTGGGTGCCATAAAGACTATTTGCCTGTAATGGATAAGGCAACACCATCTTAATTTCTTGGTTAACGGATTCGCCCGCTTCATTGTTTTCTGATTTGCAAAAACAATTCAGAATCAACTGCAAAATGCTCATATTTTGCCCTGAACAGTTGAAAACAGTCCTTTTCTTCCTAGTTGCAAGGAGGTTGTCTTTTTTTAACTCTATGCTAGTTGTTACAGTTATTCCATCTTTCAGTGCAGTGGTATCATTAAAAGTACAAGTACATTGTTTAAATTTTGAACCAGCCTGGTGTGTTGACTTCATGTCTCCTATTGTACCATTTTGGGCCATAATAGGATGCCTAGGCCTGTTTTTTTTTCGCCAGCCCACTCCATTATTTTTCTAGAAAAATCCGTTAACCAAGAAATTAAATTGGTGTGCCCTAAGATTTTATGAGCGGTACGTACGCGGTCTGTGAGTCTGTTATAGCTGAGGTCCAGGTGAGTCATGGTGTCCATGTTGGCGTCTAAAACCTTGCTTAGTTTTAGTAGCTTTTTATCATTCAACATGGCGCCGCACAAGGACAGAGCTTCCAATCCCCTGAAGTCAGCTGCTACTGAAACAAGAATACGTACGCAGTATTTCTGTAGTTTATTCTTATCCAACACAAATACCAACTAGAACGGTAACATTTGCAAAGCAAATGCATAATGTTTACCTTCGCATATGGTCTGCTCTGTTTATTCTTACTCAAATACATTCATATATATGGTCAGACAAGAGTATAAGTCCCTCCTACTATAAAATTGCAACATTATGTAACCCAACACCAGTTACCGTGGTGAGAGACGACAACAAATCAGGTCATTGGCCACGTCATAGGTCAGTGTTTGGAATGGAAGAAGAAGAAGAAACGTATCAAAAACAACATGTTTTCCTTCGGTAAACATAATCACTCGCCATACAGGCCATCCCCTCTGAACAGGGTGGCGGACGGTATAGTCTCCCGGACATGTCAGCGTATTGAACAAATTTTTATGCTTACGCTCCAGATGTTTATACGGTTATAATTTCATACAAAGGATGCAAATAATAATAAATGGTTTATTGGCCAAACATCACCCGTGCAATCGCAGCCTTATAGTGCTGAATTGATGCAGGGTTTACAATGGTACAATGATACTAATGGTAATAATACACATAATAAGAACATAATACACATGATACATATTTGTTCCACATTTTTGTGGAACTGCCGCAAGGGTCTGTGCGGCTGCCATTCGGCGCCACAAGGTGCCCTCAATACGACTTTCCCCAACCGAAGTTAGGTACCCATTCACACCTGGGTGGAGTGAGGAAAGTCGTGTAAAGTGCCTTTCCCAAGGACACAACGTCGGGCGCATGTCCAGACATGTCCTGGGTACGACTCGGGATCGAACTCGGGTCTCCCGGTTCACGGTCGAATGATCTACCACTACGCCACCCGACGCCACCCAAAACCAAATGGAAACGCCCTGGTTAAGCATTGCCTGGGCGTACCCGCAGAGTTTACAGTCAATACGTACACATGAAGTCAAACCTCTTCTTGCCGCAGACGCTGGCGGGCGGGCTGAGATGTCTGATGAAGTTGGTACACTCCATCTGTAGAGACTCCGGGTCCTGCTGCTTCAGGAGTAGGTTCAGCCTGGGGAACAGCAATGGGCCATTTCACACAGTCTGTGCAGTTCTTACAAAATTTGTACATTTAATTATGCATTTATTTTGCATTTAATCATGTACAACTCTCTCTCAGCTACCTAAACACAAAAAAAAAAAATGATGAAAATACGTTGTTCAGGACTTTCTGGACTTATTGGCTTTTAAAGATTTCGCCAGAAAGTCCCCTGCAGTTCCAGAACAAACTGCTTGGGGGATCAAACTCACACCACTTATTCCTTTATTCCTGACAGGATAAGCTATCTGTCACCAAAAAGTCAAGACCATAGCTTGTTCAGGATAAAAGATACAAAAACCGGAAGTTCTGCTGCAGTACCAAGGTCATCCACCAGGAGGCCCATATTTGACCTTGACCTTTGTCTTCCTAAGACTTAAAAACATACCAAATATCATCATAATCCATAAAGGCGTTATGAAGTTATGCTGACTACAAATGTGCGGAAACACAAACACACAGACAGACACGCCAAAAACAATACCTCCATTTCTAATGGAGGTAACAATGGCACCCACATATAAAAGAGAAGGTTGCAGCCATGGGAGCATTAAAAGTAGCCTGAGTGCCATCCGGCTCCTAACCAGACTACGTTGAATAATATAATTGTAGTAGACTCTCATATCATTGTACCTTCCTTTTTATACATGTTGTTTACAATTGCATTTGCAATTAGCCCTCGGGCATGTACATGAATTTGTAATAAACTTTCATCATCGTCTATTATTGATAAGGCCCCACCAATAAATTTTTATGGATGACGTCCGCGCGCGCATTGATTTTGGCCTGTTTCCAGACAAAAACACAAGAAATTCCGCTTCCTGTAACTATGACTAAAGAGCCAGGACAGTGCAATTGCAAGATGTGATGAAAGGAAAGAAACAGGGCAGGACGACAACTGCCGCTCCACTGATTTATTGCTGTTTTCATGACCAAGAAGATTTGTAGGTTGGTGCACTGTGTTTTCTCATTCAATTTGTGTTCTAACATTTGTCGTCCCTTAACATACTCAAAATCTTGTTTTTTCGGCCCTTGCTAATTTTTTTTTGCGCTCTTGCATTAGATTTAGGGTCTCCGGAGGACATCAACCATAAAAATTACTTGGTGTGGCCCTAATCTATTCTGAGCTCAAGAAAACTTAGGAAAACTCTAGACATGGAAGAAGAATCAACAACATATGATTCTATCATGAAAGTTCATCTGTGTAAGGTTAAAAGTTCCAACACAAAAAATTCTCTCACCTAGAGCTTTCAACCAGTCATTCTGGTCTTCCTCAGTAGACTGACCCAGGGCAAAGGTCACTATTTGGCGCATGCCCAGAGGGCCCAGTGTGAGACCCCTTTGATAACCGCATCAAAACCAACTGAAAACATCCTTTTTTTTTGGTATGTGTTTATAAATGGTGGCATTTTCCAGCTGGAGAGTAATTTTTCTTTCTGTTTTGTTGAAAAAACTGGCTTTTAGTCTTGTTTTGGCTGCTTGTTAGAGCTCTAAAACAAATCTGTTATTGTTGTGTTTTGGTGGTCTCCCTAGGGGTCAGAGGTCATTCTCTCAATGTTTTCATTTTCCCTACTATTTTACGCTGGTCAGAAAGTGAAATTTTTGGACTAAATGGACAATTTGGAGGTTGGACTACCCTGTCAATGTGACTTTTCCACAGTTGAACACTCAGGTAGGTAGTTTTTGACAGCTTATTTTTGGTATGTTTACAATGCAAGTCTATGGGACTTTGAAATGGTGGGCTGTGCCCCCCAGTGAAGCTTGTCACGAAGCCACGTGACAAGCCTCACTGGGTCAGTCTACTGAGGAAGACCAGAGTGACTGGTCGAAAGCTCTAGCTGAGAACTTTTTTGTGTTGGACCGAAAGTTTTAACTTTAAACAACATATGATTTTGATCTGAAAAAAGAACACGGGGCAGCAGTTTGGGCTTTAAGGGGTACACGATTAATGCAATGTCCAGAAACATCGCCGGTCTCAAGATATAATATAAATATTCACCTTGTGATGAACCCTGCTGTCTTCTGGTCCACAAGAAAACTGTTGGCGTCTTGCACCTCTGGGTCTTCTAACGCACATATCTGGTGATGACCGGAGAAGTAAAGGTCATCTCAAGGCAAAAGTCAAAAGATCGGACGTGGATCGTTTTACATGTTTGTCAGTATTCTTTGTTACAACTAAGGCGACAGCAAGTAATTTTAATGTATGACATCAGCGTGCACATTGATTTTCGCCTGATTTTGGAAAAAAAACAAGAAATTTTGTTGCCTTCTGACAGTGGCCAATATGCCGAAAATGGGTAAAGATTTCTGTTGCCTTGCTGGAAGGTGGATGGCTGATAACTATGAAGAGAGGAGACAAGGAAAGGCTCTGATTTAATGTTAATCGTAATTTGTTTCTTACTTTGAGACAGTGATATGTGATACTGGCTGTGTATATGTGATGTTCCTACTGAATCAAAATCATTTGTACAAATATTGAGTCAAAATTTTAAATTGTATGAATCTTGTTTTTTCGCCCGGCCTTTTTTTTCAACCGCTCGCATTAGATTTGGAGTCTGCGGAGGATGTCATCCATGAAATTTACTTGCTGTGACCTAAACAATCAACAACAAAAAATATGTTTGAGTGTGCAGCTATAGCCAGCACCGTTACCTTTCTAAGGTCCGTCAGAATATCCAGGGCCCGCTCGGAATGACCCCTCAGCGCCAGGCTACAAAACCTGTGGGCAGGGTATGAAGTAACAAATGGTATTTTTTAACGGAGTGGTTCAATGCAAGGCCTATACGACCACTTCTCGGCATTAAACTAGAAATATGAGAGAAACATGGCTATGTCAAGAGATGGCGGTGAACGTTTGATTTGAAAGCCTGTAGATTGTAGGTTGGTGGGAAACACTTGTCAGGGAGGGAATTCCAAAGCTTGGCCGTACGGGGAAAGAAACTGTCACTGTAAAAACATTTCGAACAGGGAATTCGGACGGTGAAGTTGTGTGAGTATGACGTACATGAATAGTTTCATCAGGTTGGTAAGTCACTGAGTAAAGAGATTATTTTCAGTAGAGTCTTTTTTAAAGATTTAGTTGTATAAAAAGAGTCTCTTTACTCAGTATGACGTATAACTGTAGATCTTAAGATGAAGCATATGGGAACGCAACAAATTACACTCAATACGGAGGGGAAGTATAATTTAAAAATTATACTTTCCCGTATTGAGTGTAATTTGTTGCGTTCCCATATGCTTCATGTGTGTATGTACGTAGATGTTTGTAGATTCGGTACATGTATGCTTGTAGATTGGGTATCCGTATGCACTAGGTAGATTGGGTGCACGTATATGTATAGGGTACATGTAACGTTATGTAGATTAGGCACATGGAAAGTAGATTGTATACATGCACTATGTATGTAGATTGGGTTCATGTATGCATGCATGTAACGTTAGAGTGGGTACATGTAGATTCTGTATGTAGATTGGATACATGTTTGTATGTAGATTGGGTACATGTATGTGTGTTACACCGAAGGGCGGTTATACCGGCAATACCGATACAGATACAGATGTATGTAGATTGGATACATGTATGTATGTAGATTGGGAACATGCATGCATGAGGTTAACAGATATGGAATGTTACCTTCTGATGACAGACACACGCAGCCGCCAGGGGTCGCCCGTGATCTCCCATGTCTCGTGTCTTCCCCTGTGGTTAGTCTACAAGAGTTACACTAAAGTTAGCACGTTATTTACAACTGGCAAAAACCCACTGTACATTCTATTATTGGCCAAATCTCGTATCACGGAGCTACTTGAATAAATCAAACCAAGACGTATAGCAGCTACAATGACATGGATAACACTATCTAATAGGGAATTAAGCTTATAGAATGTTGGGTTATGTATGAGGTTTTGTTTTAAAGTAATCTTTAAGTTCGAATTAATTCGTAAACTCCGGTCTAAAGTGTTCCTGGTATTGGGGAATCTAGACATCATGGTGAACATTCTTTGTTGAATTTTGGTGTACATTACTGCCATATCGTTACAATGTCTAGTGTTATATTGATGATGATCTGAATTTAGGCTAAAAAGGTGTTTGAATTGATCTGTAAGACAGGAACTAGAATGAACTATTTTATGTACGAAGAGAGAGAGATCTGCAGCTTATTTATATCATACACGGACATCAGATTCAACTTACAAAACATCACTGATCCATTCTTATGGAAGTATCGTTGTTACTTATGTCCAACACTAGACAGACAACAATCGAGATTGTTAAATAAAAAATCTTGCTCACCCCTCCATTCTCCTGTACCCATAATCCCAGAGTACTTTTCTTGTTCCCCATCGGAGTCACATGTCCGTGTTTGGGAGGGTTGTGAAACACAGACCAGGTCCAAAGCGCGGCGAGTCTCTTTACTTTATTTTATTTACGTTTGTTTACTGCTCAACATTCAAGATGCGGGACGCGTCGAACGAGTTTTTGTTTCTCCGGCGACGTTAATTGTTTGACCCAGTTTGTGACGTCACAAGAGTCGGGGCGGCCCAATCGCGATCGTTCTAGAGCATAAATGTGTCGTTGTTGTTGTCTCTGTTCATCCGCTCTCGTTCGTCGGAAGAATGGACCTACCACATTATTATTACGTCACAGTTTGTTTACCGCAATGAATGCCAGTCAATCGACGTTTATATTGTACAGGGGTGCGTATTGTAGCGCAGTGTGTGTTTGTGTAGCGTTAGCCTAATATAAGGCCTTTTTACAGTACTACTTTCGTCTAATGTCACAACTAAATCACCCATTACGGCATGCAATGCTGTGTCAACAAAACTAGACGCAGCAAAAATCAAACGCACCTGACTTTGAAAACTTGACTGTGTGCTCTATATGCTATTTGTGCTGCATGGACCGGTCGCTACCGTGGTTCGTTCGAGTGGGCCGAGAAATTCTGAAAGACGCGGCAAATTTAGGAGCACGTGTAGATCCGCGTTGCGATTGGTTAGGGCAGATCAAGTTTACACTGTGATTGGACAAGTCGTGCCCCGCCCGTGCTCAACACGCGATAGAAGTCCACTTGGACATCACTATTGCATGACCCCATAGGTATCTACATAAAAATCTATAAATGCTAAGGGCAAGCTTTTATTACGTGCCCTCCTGGCTAAGTTATAGTCCATATTACAAGGGGTTCTCAATGAATAAACAGCTTGACTGTTTATTCTTAAATATTCGGCAATGATCATTTTGTTGGGAAACCTGGTTACCTTTTATTGCTCATTACTTGACGTGCATGAGAAGTGTGGAACGTGCCGTTGCAACGTGCGCTATGTACAGCGACATTTCGAACGCCGTTCCTACCCAGTGGTATGGAACACATAGAACGCCTGGAAGCGTCCGTTGCGATTTGTTTGCTTGAAACATAACCCAGATCGACACGTCCTTCAGGTCAGTCACAAGTTGTGTTTTACATGAAGAAACTTTACTGAATCTGACGGGAATTTTGTTCCACCGGAATCTGGAGGTATGGCGCTACATCACAGTAGAGTCAGAAATGTAGAACGTTTTGTGCTTTTCCATGTCAATTCTTTTACACGTTCAGTGTCCACGTCACGACTTTTCGGGGTTTGTTTCAAGTATAGTCTGTGTAACCATGTTGTAACACAAACTCGGCAACCGTAAAGCGATTTAATCAGGTATTTCAAGTATTGTCTCTGTCCCAATGATATTGAAGACGAAGAACATTTTATTTTGAATTATACACTATATAACGATAAACGCACAACGCTGTTCAACCTTCTCTCCGCTTGCTCAACAGAATATGTTACATTTCATGCTATAGATAAATCTAATTTCATACCTTACTGTGTACAAATAGGTAAATATATCGAAGAATGTTTAGACCTTAGAACAAGTAGTATTAGTTGACTCATCTATTGTTCTGTACGTAGGTTGATTTCTCGTACCCATGTAATTGTCTGTATATCTACATGCGGCCTTAGACCTTACGAAAGTCGCTGCACTTTTGTTAATGTTGTGTCAATAAAGTTTGTAATTTGTCAGAAATGGCGACCGTGGAGCGGCTGAACCTGCCCCAGCGGACGGGTTCGGCTCAGGGCTACTTCGTCATGCCCAAGACTTGGACTTCTCATCTCGGCTCGCCGGCCCGCGGGTCTGACGTGTCTCTGCCTGAATGGATGAACTACTCCCTGGATACGAAGATGCCGCTGATACCGGGGATAGAGAAAGCTATGGTGCTGTACACAACCAACCTGGGAGAAAGGGTAGGTTCTGTCATGTCTCTATTGATAGTGTTTGGAGAGATGGGCTGCATCAATGTAGTATTGGGGGAAATTTCTTTAATATTATAAAATCGATGTATAAGGATGTAAATTATGCTGTTAGATTAGACAATGGACTATCAAACCCCTTTCCGTCTGTATGCGGAGTAAGGCAGGGGTGTAACCTTAGCCCTTTGTTATTCAACTTATTCATTAATGATATATCTACGTGCTCTGACCCCACGAAATGTGATCCTGCAGTCCTAACTTCAAAATCTCTAAATTGTCTATCATTGGCGGATGATCTCGCTCTTCTATCATCGTCTAAACAAGGACTACAACATTGCATTGACTCTCTTGAAAATTATTGCAAGAAATGGAAATTGTCTGTCACTGTTTCAAAGACTAAGGTGGTTGTTTTCGCCAAAGGTTTCAAGAAGAAGGCAAAGACAAATTCCATGTTTATGACAAAGAAATAGAAATCACTGACAGCTGCACCTACCTCGGCATTCCCTTTATGTCCTCGGGCAAATTCAAAACTGCCACCCACTTCTGTATTAGTTAGGGTAGCCTTATGAAAATGTAATTGATATGTACTTACTTAAGTTAACAGATTTGTACCCATACTTTGTACCCTGTTCAACTGTTGCGCAATAAAGTTATTATATTGATGTAGTCTATTGTGTTCCACACACTCACCAAATGAAAAGTGTTAATTTATTAAATAAACGGCGGGGATGTTTTGTAGTGTTTTAGCGGCCATTTTCTTTAGCTGTCGATGTCATGTTTAACTCTGCTTAACTCCAACTTACTTCCAACCACTACTGTACTCCCCAGCTTCACGCCAGACCAGATGACCATGACTTTGACCTGACGGACCCTTGTGGTCACCAAATGTCCACAGAGTACAGCCTCCTGCACGACCCACATCTCAAACCTTTCTACAGCAGCCCGAGGGTCAAGCACAGACTGGTCAAGAACGGCTTCATCACGGAGGACGGGAAGGTCAGTCTGGCCGGGCCGGCAGTTCTAACACTTTTGTTGTTCCATTTTGTCTCATTGACTATGGGAATATTTTGATTGGTGGTATTCTTTGATAGAATTATTAAATATTTTGCAAATGTATAAGTCATTTTCTTTAGAAATACACTTTCACATTTTATCGTTACTTTCGTGAACGAAATTAACTACAATCACTTGTTATAGATATAGAATACACCATGATACGTGTATTACATATCAGCCAGGGTACCGAGGGCTGGGGCCGAGGGTGATCCGGAATACGCCGTGTATTTTTATGTCATTCCTACCGGGAAAACATTCAATGCGAAATGTACCAGAAGTTGAGAAAATCCGGTGTCCCTAAACAAAACAAAAATGGTAACATGTAAACAGCATCAATCACAAGGTCCGATGCGATCCGGCATTCGAATTTTCTAAAGCCACCCTTATGAAAATCGTTTAAATCATGCAATCCACTTTATCATGTTTATTTCAAAACAGTTCCAGAGTATGGCAACTACTATTCCATAAAACTAATCTACCCGATACAAGCGTGTGTAGTGTTGGAGAATGTAGTATGGGATGTGATGTGTTTACAATCATTGGGTGAATTTCTAAAATCCAGACATTCTTTAATACATTGTCTGTGTATGCCATGCATGGATGTACTTACAATGGACCTATCACATTATTACGTCACAGTTTGTTTACCGCGATGAATGCCGGTCAATGTGATAGGTCCATTTGCTATTAAAGTTTCACTTAGATAACTCCTGGTATAGAACATGACAGACATGTTCACTCGGGTGAAAATGAGTACATTATATTGTCCTCTGCGTTAGTTTCGACATAGAAATAAGTTGAAATCTTGCCGTCAAAATATCTTAAAAGTTGGAATAAAAATGGGGCATCTGTGCACAATTTTCTCCACCAACTTATGCTTGGAGAGCAAAAATAACGTTGACAAACGGTATTCTAATGGACCTATAACATTATTACGTCACAGTTTGTTTACCGCAATGAATGCCAGTCAATCGACGTAGGGGTGCGTAGCGCGGTGTGTGTTTGTGTAGCGTTAGGCTTTTAATACAGTACTACTTTCGTCTAATGTCACAACTAAATCACCCATTACGGCATGTAATGCTGTGTCAACAAAACTAGACGCAGCAAAAATCAAACATACCCGACTTTGAAAACTTTATGCATTATGATCTTTATTCTTTAACTGACCGTTCTAGACTGTTCTTTAGAACAGGTAAACAAACTGATGACTCATCAAATAACGTTTCTTCGCTGTTCTAACACAGGTACTCTGTACTCTGAAGGAGTTTAACCAGTACAGACAGTACTTACGGAAGATAAGTCTGGACCATTACAGAAATGAACGGCGCAGACAGGTAAGGCAAGGTGTGTGTATAGATGGATGTGTACAAGTCTGTTTGTGTTTGTGTGTGTGTGTGTCTGTGTGTGTGTGTGTGTTTATGTGTGTGGTGTGTGTTTATGTGTGTGTAGTGTGTATGTGCGCGAGTTGTGTGTGTGTGTTTGTAGTGTAGTGTAGTGTAGTGTGTGTGTGTGCTGTGTGTGTGTCTGTCTCTGTGTGCGTAAGCGTGTGTGTGTGCGTACGTATTTGTGTGTGTAGTGTGTGTGTGTGTGTGTGTGTGTGTGTGTGTGTGTGTGTGTAGTGTGTGTTTGTGTAGTGTAGTGTATCTGTGTATGTGTGCTTGGGAGGATGCTCGTGCATTGCGGGAGCAATATTTACAACTGACAAGCACACGCGCCTTTGGCGCCAAGGCAAACGCTATTTGACGCATCAGACATCGTTAAGCAGAGGATTATTGCATGAAATTGAAGAATTTCCACAGCTATTTGCGGCCCGGGTATGATATAAGTTTAGTTATCTTACGAAAGTCGCTGTACATTTCTTTTGTCAATAAAGTTCTTGCGTTACCAGTCGGGCGCGCACTAATGAGTCGGATATATGTTCAACACATGTTAACCGTAAGAAACAATCAGGTAGATTATTGTATCGTCTATATGTGTGGGACTTACTACATCCTAAGGTTCTTCTTATAGCGTAATATATAGAACTGCATGATTTGTCCAGGCACGTACGGATGGACGCGTTCATGTGTATCTTTTCTGTCCCGCCTGTAGCTGGAAGATGCGGTTTTGGCGCGGGAACGTGCAGTACTGAAGAAGAAGGAAGACAAGGCGCAGACTGAGTCACTACAGATCATCAAGAGTCGGCGGGACAAGGCGAAGGAGACCCGACAGAAGCTGGCGGAACAGGAGGAGGCTGCCAGGCGCAGGTAAGACTAACACCAAACTTCGTGCCGCAGCGCCGCCCAGCGGAAAGTCGAGCTCATGCAGTTATTGCATGAGAAAGGTAACTTCATCGAAACGTCGGTCAAGTAAATGTCTATTAGGCCATACCAATTTAAATTGTTGGTTTTCGGACTCGGCTCTTCATTTTTTTCTGATTTGCAAAAAAAGAAAATCAACTCAAAAATGGTCATATTTTACCCCCACCAGTTAACGAAAGTCCCTTTGTTACAGTTTTTGCATCTATCAGTGCATTGGTTTGATTAAAATTTCAAAATTCATTGTTTATTTTAAATACTATCCCAGCCTTTTGTCGTGACGTCATGGCTCCTATCATAGCATTTTGGGTTATAATAGGATGCCTAGACCTGTTTTTATTTTTTTCCCCTGTCACTTCATATTTCTTCTGAAAAAATCCGAGAACCAACAAATTTTAAAAATTGGTGTGGCCTTACGTTGTGTTAAAAGAATCTCGTTTTGCAAAAGCAAGGGAAATTTTGGACTGATGATTCCCGTTTCTGTCTGCGTAAGGTACATGACGATGATGAGGAAGGATGCCACCAAGAGAAACCTGCTTCAGATGGAGAAGACTTTGAATCAGGAGAAAAACAGGAAGGAAAAAGAAAAGGAGTGGGAGAATCAAAGGTTCAAGTTCCAGTTAAAACAAGACAAGGTGCGCTATCACATTATTACGTCACAGTTTGTTTACCTGTTCTAAAGAACATTCTAGAACGGTCAGTTAAAGAATAAAGATCATTTCAAGTTTTCAAAGTCAGGTGCGTTTAATTTTTGCTGCGTCTAGTTTTGTTGACACAGCAATGCATGCCGTAATGGGTGATTTAGTTGTGAAATTAGACGAAAGTAGTACGGTATTAATTAAAAAAAAGGCCTTATATTAGGCTAACGCTACACAAACACACACCGCGCTACGCAACACTGTACAATATAAACGTCGATTGACCGGCATTCATTGCGGTAAACAAACTGTGACGTAATAATGCAATAGGTCCATGAATAAGTCAAAGTTCTAAAAGCTTACCTCCGATCTGAATCTTTGCACACTGAACACATTATGAATCGTACTCGCGAAACTCTCTTCAAAGATCTACTTGCCTAACGTAGATAAAGGATTTTCTTTTTTTGGAGGCTAAAGGGACGAGGGTGCCGCGGAATACCCAGGCATGCCTTTTGGTTGGAATCTGAGACATTACAGGTAATAATTTGCACCAGTCACCCATAACCTGGCCTTGCCTCTTTTCTGTGTTGGTGTCCATGCAGGACCGGCGGAGGCGTAAGAAGATGATGGAGTCGTGGAAGGTTGAGGAGAAGGAGAGACAGCGGCGGCTGGACGAGCGCAGACGGCAGGAACAGAGAGAGAAAGAGGCAAAGGTGACAGCTAACGTTACACTTCTAACCCCTTCTGTCATTTAATCACCAATGCATTCACCAGTTTCCCATCCCCAGAATGCAATGCGTAAACAGGGGCTAACCCTCATTTGCATAGGACAAGAAGGCATCGGAACGATCCTGGTGACGTTAAACAGCTTGCTTTTCACTGTGTTTTGAGGTGTTGGGGCATTTTATGCTCAACATTGATTAAATAACTACGGGTTAAATCTGACAACAAATAGAGAATGAAGGTTTTTGTGTTCTTTTCAACATGGAACATGTGGTTTGTAACGTTACAGCATCAGTAAAGCGTCATCACTATAATGTTACAAACAATTTCATTCTCTATTTCTTGTCAGATTCGACCCATAGTAATTTAATTAACGTTGAGAATAAAATGCCCCAACACCTCAAAACAGAGTGAAAAACAAGCCGTTTAACGTCACCAGGATCATTCCGATGCCTTCTTGTCCTATGGAAATGAGGTTTAGACCCCTGTTTTCGCATTGCATTCTGGGGATGGGAAGCTGGTGAATGTCCCCATCGGAATGACCAAGAATTTCCTGTAAGTGGTGTTACCACCGTGTCATCGGGTGGCGTAGTGGTAGATCAATCGACTGTCAACCGGGAGACCCGGGTTCAATCCCGAGTCGTACCCAGGACATGTGCCCGACGTTGTGTCCTTGGGAAAGGACTTTCCGCACTCCATCCAGGTATGGGTACCTAACTTCGGTTGGGGAAAGCCTTGTGGCGCCGAATGTGGAAAATGTGGAAAAAATGTGGAAAAAATATGTATCATGTATCATTATGTGTATTATTATGTGTATCATTACCATTTGTATTATCTGATTGTAAACCCTGCCAATTCAGCACTATAAGGCTGCGATTGCACGGGTGATGCTTGGCCAATAAACCATTTATTATTATTATTATTACTTATCTTCAGACAATGGAACACTTTGTGGAGCATGCGCGGTTACGTGCGCTGCAGCGGGAGGAGATGTTACGTGTTGAGGAGGAGGAGAGACTGAGGAGACAGGAGAACATCCGGGCACGCGAGGCCGCCATCCAGGCACAGCGACAGAAACAGTACGGTCAGTCACGACAGTGGTTAGGCCACACCAATGTAATTTGTTGCTTCTCCGATCGCCCTGTCCATTTTTTCTGATTTGCAAATTAACTGCAAAATGCTCAATGAAAGACATATTTTGGCCCCCAATGGTTGAAGAAAGTCCCTAAGTACCTATAAATCTATTGTTTTGATTATAAACCAGCCTGGTATGTTCACTTCATGGCTCATATTGTAACATTGTAACATTTGGCATGTTTTTTTTTCGCCCTGTCGCTTCATATTTTTCTGAAAAAATCCGAGAAAAAACAAATTAAATTGGCGTGGCCTTAGCAGAAAAATTTGTCCCTTGTTCTCTTATCAGTTCGCCGACCTTATTAAGCAATCAAATCTCTCCATTTCTTGTGGAGAGAAACAGGTTTGTGAGAGTTCATTTACTTACTTCACATAACGGAACGGGTAGGTGTTCTGTACGATTTCTACATAGACACAACTGTGTCTTCTATACAGAATACATTCGGATATCATCATTACATACGCGAACATGACGTTATATGATGACTAAGTTCCGTTCTTTAACGCACTATTGCGTTCTGAGTACGTCTATTTGCTTCAATATGCATTCTACAAAGGCATGTAAAGGTTGTTTTGAAACTGTTTTGCACGATCATATCCCCTTCTACCCAAGCACGGTATGCTTCTCGGGTTTTAGGGCAGACACCACATTTGCGTTGGGCAGTAGAGGCCTCAAAATGGATTGTAGTGCCTAGTTAATACCTTTGAAAATCCTTTTTTCTCTCGAAAGTTTGGTCCATTTGGGAGATTTTTGGGCTGGAAGGCACAGGTAGGGTCTAAACTTTCCTACTTTTGTCGTTTTGTTTATTTCACCAGTTAAGTGGGCGTAATGAGAGATGTGAGTGGTTAGGTCTTGTCTGGCCAGGCGGATGGATACCATGAAAAATTAGGTCAAAGTTGAGGTTTTGTTACTATCATCAGCTGTGGCGGGAATTTGACCCGGTCGACCCCCTGTTTCCTTTCTATTTTTGGGAATCAGACCCTTGTGGCTACCTGGTGCAGAAAAATTTTTGAGATTGAAGTATGGGCAAGTACTTTCATGAGGACTTCTAATAGTGTATTTAAGCATGTGGTCCTATGGCCAAATCTAATAGTACTGTCTGTCCTTTACCAGTTGTTTTGTTTTCCCTGCCCGCAGAAACTTTCCTGAAGAGAAAGCAGCGGCAACAGGAGCGGCGAGAGCGTACCCAGAAAACCCTGCTGCAAATGTGGAGGGACAAAACTAAAGCAGGTTGGTTGAAGAAGATTCTACTTTACTATGTCTACAATGTTGCTGCTTGCTCCACTGCTACATTTACTACGCAGGGCTCGAAATACTGGGTGCATGTGCACCTTAGTGCACCCAAAGTTGGAGCTGTGCGCCTAATTTTTTTCAATGGGCGCACTGGTGCACCCAAATATTTTTGTAGTAATTTTTAACATTAGAAGTGTATAATAGTATACCGGATATTCTTGGTCTCCAAGTATCAGAAAAACCATAAGATCTTTGTTATAGTAATGTTTAAGATTTTGAAGTTAGCTCTTATCTTAGATTCAAGCTCAGAAGAGGAGCAGTAAGACGTGCAATAAGGTTTTGTTTCATAAGGTGCACCCAAAAAATTTTGTGCACCTAATTTTTAAGGTTGGGTGCACCAGTGCACCTATTCCCAAAAATGAATTTCGAGCCCTGCTACGTGTCCTAACCTTCTTCTTAAACCCTCGTAACATGCTGCCGGACTGACTAACCTGTAACGTTACATGTACATGTTGGGTCCTGAATATGATGTCTCAGTACCCATGTTAAGTTACAACTGCCTCCAAATTTGTTTGAATATAGCGTTAGAAGTGAACAGATTATGTAAACGAATCTTAGGACAGTTTATAAAAGTTGTGGTCCCCAAATTTACGTATGAGAAGAGATTTCATACAGGCTTTATAGCCCTTCTAGCTATAAGCTATATGACGTCTTCTAGCTATATGATAAGTTTTCAATGTATAGAACGTTTTGGCTTTGAAGTGTTTCAAAGCACTTTACCAAACCGATTAAATCACAACTGTGCAGACCAGAGTGGGGGGAAAGCAGACGGTTCGGGCGGCGGTAGGACCGGGCTGTTCTCCCGCTTCATGGGCGTGACTGAGGGGGCCGAGCCCGCGAAAGGAGAAGTAAGTAGTAGCGGATGCGCCTTTCATTTTTGTCTGTCTATAAAAGTTCTCTTCAAATGTAGCCCTAACGTCCACGGATAGAGCAACATTGAATCTAAATTCAGATTACCCACAACTTTCTACAGTATATATACGTAGTGAACGTCCTCTCCATAGATGATGCGATTATGACCTTGCCTTACCAGTAGCCAGTTTAGCATTACTAACAATTTTACAGCGCATTTATTGAAATCAAAAACGTTTGTTTCAAAACTTCCAACGTCATCGGAAAATAGAAAGGAACACACTACTGCTAGGTCTCTGTTTCAACGAAGAAGGCATTGGGCTACCTATGGGTTAGCCTCCTTCGCAGACTTGTTGGGAGTCGGCGTTATTTTTTTCTGTGAGCGACGCGAGTAATATGCCGCGGAGGGACGATTTTGCTGCCGAGGGAGTTTTTTGCCGTAGAGACCTCTCTCCACTGCAAAAACTCCGCGGCATATTACTCGCGTCGCTCACAGAAAAAAATAACGCCGACTCCCAACAAGTCTGCGAAGGAGGCTAGTTATGCAGTAGGGAAGTCAAACTTGATATTGTAACGTTTTATGATTAACTTTCAGGCTGAAAAGAAAGGTTTAGATCTGGGCAGGCTGGTAGACCGTGCTATAGACAAGGCCATGGAGGACTTCGAGACACCCCCGTCCTTACCGCCAGGGGAACAGTCAGAGGAACCAGCACACAGGTTAGCGGGTTGCATGCTGTTAAATTTGTGGCGTCGTGTGGTGTAGTGGTACATCACTGGACTATGAAACGGGGAGACCCGGGTTCGATTCCGGGTCGTACCCGAATAAGTCCGAACATGCGCCCCGACGTTGTACCCTTGGGAAAGGTACTTTACACGACTATCCTCACTTCACTCAGGTGAAAATGAGTACCTAGCTTCGGTTAGGGGCGTCTTATCGGATGGGACGTTAAAATGGAGGCCCCGTGTTTGAGGAGAGACACACCTCAAGAACGTTAAAGAACCCACGTGGGCGGAAGTGGAACAAACCATTATGGTCTAAAAAGGGGTAGGGAATTTTCACGACCAGCCTCGTAACTCCTGCTTCTCCTATTGTTCTCCTTCTACTCACTACTTGTGAGGATGTTTCTGACTCAGGGAGAAGAGTTGCTGTTACAGTTCTATACCTCTAGCTCTATGCCTAGAAGTGGCCAATGGCCTTGCATATGAGCGACACTGTTAATAAAATGCCTAACCACTGGCATCTGATTCACGCTATGAAAATTTTCGTCCCATATCACACTGTCTATTGGTAAGAATTTCTTTCTTGTGTTGAAGAAAATAAAGGACGATTTCTTTTTTTCAGATCAGTGGAAGAGATCGCCGCGTCCATCAAAGAGCCACAGGAGACACCTGTCACGAAGAAAACAGTGAAAAGAAAGTTCGGCACAAAAGGGAAGAAGAGGTCAATCAAGTTCAAAGTGACCAAAGACTCCATGGCACGCCTGAAGAACGAGTTCCACGGGGCACAGATGATCGACATGGATGAGATGGAGAGACAAGAAGAAGAGAAGACCAGACAGGCAGATCTGTTGATCAGGCAGCTTCAGACAGACTTCCCCGGGGCTAACGTGTCGTTAGAGGATGATGATGATGATGAAGAAGAAGAGGTCCTGGTAAGTGGCACACATTTCTCAGATTCCTGTCTCACGTGGAGAGTATGACGAGCACCCATGGCGCAGTCTTTTCGTGACTAATGATCTATATAATAAGTGAGTGGAAAATGAATTTCATAATTATTTTGCGTAGGTAAACAAGAAAAAACAGCAAAATGGGTCTGTACAATGGCATTAAATCGTTTTTTTAACAAGTTTTTTAAAAATTGTCTCTCAATTGTCACAGAAAAATGCGATAAGGTCGCTCTATCCAAACTGCAGATAATCTTGGAGCAAACTACGGAGGCCCATTGTGGATTCTGATCATTTACATGGCATTTGCGCTTACTAATAGATAGCTTCAAGAAAAGGTTGTCGAACTAGAATGGCACTGTACGTTGTCTAAAGAAATATTCTGGAGAAGTTCTGGAGATTATATCTCTACGTTGTAGGTAAAAATAAGGTGTATTTGATTCATGTTGTTCGTGTGTTGGTTTGAACTCCTGTTGTCCTGTGTCATCCGTACACCCCCCCCCAGTTCCTCCCGTGCGGTCTTCTAGATTTAATGGACCAACCCGGGGAAATTACTCAAATAATACCCAATGCAAAAAGACGGTGTCTACTGATCTTTTTGTTTCAGATTTAGCATGTTGTTAGCGTGTTGTTCTTTCGTGATCCACCTCTGATTGAAATATTCAAAATGCATTCATCGCGTTTTTGGCGACGTCTCAGGGAGGAGCCTAATGGTCACAGTATTGTGTGCAGTTTGCAAGAATTATAGGAATGGAACAGGCATGTTGTCCACAGGAATGGAATGGAATGTCCACAGGCATTTCTCTGACCCACATCTATGCCCACATTCCTGGAAACCCTTGGGAAGACCTCCCTGCCCTGGTTGGCCCTACTTTCTGTGACCCTGGGGCTCTGTATCTGTCTAGGAGTTAACAGGTACCAAGTCTTCCTCAAAATCATGAAATAATGAGGAATGATGGCAGTGCCGCATGCAAACAATAACCCTAACATCAACCACCGTCGCCATGTATGTTTTCATTACCACTACAGTCTTTTTTGCCGTCTCACCTCACAGGAGGAAGTTGAACTCCAGCAGGTTCTTTCCCGCTCAGAAACCACCCTACTGCACATGCGCGCAGCTGAGATCGTCAGGGCTGTCATGGAAACCGTCTCTAAGGTGATAATACCCCGGATGTTGAGCGAGGTAAGTTTTACGTCAGTTTTATAGGCCAAATGACAATCTCGTTCAAAACTGCATTTTTAGCTCAGTTGCTTTTCAGCAAAGCGTATATTTCAGTTGGACAGGTCGGGGGAGTTGCAAACTTGTCTTATAATTTGAAAAGTGGTTCAACGTTAAATGTCTGACTTGAAAACCTTACATTTTAAATTTAAAGAGTTTTAACTCTTCCGAGATATAGACACATAGTAAAGTGCTTTGCAGTCCGTTAGGCCATGCTGATTTGATTACATGGATGACATCAGAGCGTACATGAATTTTCGTCTGTTTCCAAAATGAAGTCTTAGCAAACTAGCACCAGTTTTGGGGTTCCCAAGTATGCCATCCATATAGTCAAATCAACACACACGCACACACGGCTTATGTGAAGAAGGTCACGTGTCTGTAACCGTAACTCTCGCGAGATTACTTTTGAAGTGATTGGTCATTAATTATCCTGATGAAGGCGACAGTGGTCGTAGAAAATTTTATCTCTGTTTAATCTTTGTGATATGGAAGTTCAACATTTTACTATGATTACCAACACAGATGGACATAATAAAGCAGACGGCAAGAGAGTTTGTTCCGTGGGTGATCGGCGGTGTTCAGCAGGAACTTCGCAGGTCCGACTCGCGGGTCCTCAGCCGAGTTGCCAGTGACATGGTGACGTCAGCTCTGGAAAAGTTACAGACAGAAATGACGGAGGACGTTCAAGATGGTGGCACACACCGAGCCAGTCGGGCAGCGAGCCAGCTGGTATCTTCTGTCATTGATGGAGTGAGGAAGGAGTTTTCCAATGAGGACATGGTGCAGGGCAGAACCAAAGAAGTAAGGACATCCACGTCTGACAGCAGCCTTCTGAGTCAAACAGCTCGTGACATCGTGGCTTATGTGACGGACAGTGTGACGAAGGAACTGACGGGCCAGCGTGCAGATGGCATGTCCGCCATGTCAGCCACAAAGTCGTGCTCAGACACGTCTGTCATCAGCCGCACGGCACGGCAGGTTGTTTCTTCCGTGGAGAATATAGCTAAAACCGCGTCGAAGGTTGAGCCCGCCCTTTCTGAGTCTGAGACAGTCCGGGAAATGGCCAGCCAGATCACGTCGTGGGTTCTCGAAAGGGTGCGGCAGGAAATGGCGGACGGGTCGTCAGAGGCGTCTGCCGAAAGTTTCGACGACAGCTGTCTGGAGCGAGAATTACTCCGGACGATGCGAGCCGACTCCACGCCTGTCGACGAACCATACTCACGGCCGTTATCTCCTGAACCGTCCAGCGACGTGGAGATATCCCGGGCAGGATCCAAACAAAGCACCGTTTCAAAACCTAAAGTGTCGAAGTCACGAAAGCCATCCAAAAGCGAAATCACTTCAAGACGTGTATCCATGGAGTCAGTCGGAGTCTCTGCTAGGGCGTCACCTTCCAAGGATGCCATGCCGTCAACATCTTCTTCCAGCCACAAAGTAAGGCTTTTGGCGCTGACATCCCGGACAAGTGTAAAGACATCTCCAGTAACGTCAACAACACGGCCCTCCCCGAAAACGTCCAGAAGCAAAGCCATGTCTACACGAAAGTTGTCCAGAACCTCAAGAGAATCTGTTACCAGTCAGTCCAAGAAATCGAAGTCCGACAGTGTCGTAAAGAGATCGTCAAATAAAATAACATCAACGTCTCTTAGCAGTCACGCCATGTCACCCACAGCATCGAAGTCATTTCAACAACGATCTAATGAAAGCTTTCGATCGTCAAAAAAGACTTCCTCACCAAGTGTCCGACGGTCGTCTTCAAAAGTGTCCTCGACAGTAGATGACAAAGTCACCGCCGCAAGTACTGCAGATAAATCTGACGCAGGATCAACGGACAGACCAGCAGAAGCTGCTCCTCCTAAAGACGGAACAATTTCTCCCAAGAAATTTGTGTCAGCAACCCAAGCTTCTTCTGAGCACAAGGAGCCTGTCCAAAAAACGTCTTTGCAACTTGAACACCAATCCTCCAGAGTTTCTCCGAAGTCACCGGCTTCTGAGGTCATACAGCCGTCAACACAGACACAGATGGGTAAGGCATCCGGGCAAACTTCCAGTGACTCTAACAGCTCTGGGAGAAGGGCGTCCATATCTGCCCCTGGTATAGACGTCAGGCGGTCTAGTTTGAAAAGCCTGAAGGAAACACCTGTGCGCGGCAGGTCGAGTGGAGTTGTAGTGCGCAGCGGCCCGTCCATGTCGGGATCAGATGTCAGGGGAATACAGGAGAAGCGGGAAGAACTGGAGTCGACAGGTTCGAAGCAGAGAGTTGTGAAGACGGCACCGTCGACTCCTCTTCCTGAAGACGATGCCGGGGAGTCCGTGATGCCGTCGTCACACTCAGAAGGTAGTGTTAAAGCCAGGACGTCTGTAAATAAAGTAAGTTCAACGCCGAGCGCCTGGAGCGCACCACCTTCTAAAAAGACGTCGTCCCGATCTCTGACTAAAACACGTGATTCACAGTCAGATCTGACGTCACCATCGGGCACAAACGTCTCAGCCAGGAAGTCGACATCAAAACCTACGTCACAAACAGGTATTGCTACGTCACAGTTAGGGTCTAGTTCGAGAACGCCATCGTTCGAGAAAACGCCTTCCAAGTCCAGTATCAAGGCCAGTTCGTCCAAATCAACCTCAAAAGTAACAACAACATCCCGTTCAAGCAGTTCCAGTCTGCGAAAAACAAAGTCAGGGGCACCCAAAGGTATTGCCACGCCTGCTTCGGAAGCAAAGTCGGGGACAAGTGTTCGTTCGTCACGATCAGGTGGTAGCAAAGCATCGTTAGTAAAAAACACTAAATCTTTTTCAAACGTAAAGCCGTCACAATCCAAAAGCAAAGACAGCATCAAAGATAAAGCGGAAATCAAAGTTGAGTCAAACACTTCCAGACAAGAGTGTGAAGAGATAAAACAGCCTGGGGAGATGGAAGGGGATCTTGATGAAGATCTACACCTTGACGACGACGAGGGGCGAGACTTCGAAGGGGACACCGAGGAACCTTCTGCCAAGGACATGCAGCTGCTTGGGCGTGAAACAGAGATGAGTGACGTAAGCGACGCCGAAGATGAAGAGGTACTGACAGAGACGGAAAATGTGGTCATTAAGAAGAGAAAGGAGAGTCTTGTGGGTTCAGGGCCCGAGGAGGAGCCAACAACAATGCGCGGATCCAGAGCTTCGATGAAAAGTTATCGGAGACACAGGTGAGTTCGTCGTGTACGGTCATCATAAAATGAACAATTAGAAATAAAATGCGTTTCATCTTCCGCTACATTTGGGGAGCAATATCTACAAATTATCTATCTACAGAGGTAGTTTCATATACTGCAATTTTTCTATATTCATGGGACGGGCACTGATTCTTATCTTACTGATAGCGCTAGCGGAGCGCTGTTCGAAGTCGTAATGTCGAGATATTTTTCTATACACTATTGCCTAACCCAAGAACGTTCCAGAACCCAAAGGAAATACCAAAGTTCTTCATGTTATGATCAGTCAATAGACCCATTTGACTTTCACGGATCGCATAAACTGCTTTCGTCACAGGGGGGACATTTCGAAAGAACGTCGTTCTAGAACGCTGATGTCGAACGCGGCTTGCGCTCGCGGTGTCCCCCCCTGTCAGATCATTTTTTCCCTAAAAGGTAGCTGTCTATTTTCTCGGTAATATATGCGGAAATGACAGGGAAATAGGCATCAACTTTGTATGGTGGCATTCCGTACGACAATTTAAGGTTATTTTGTTCTGTGACTTATGCAGTTTATGCGATCCGTGAAAGGAACTTTCAAAATTACCCCCTGCGACGTAGTTTCTATTCGAAATGTCCCCCCTGTGACGTAGGTTGCATTTGAAATGTCCCACATGTGACGTAGTTTCTATTCGAAATGTCCCCCCTGTGACGTAGTTTGTATTTGAAATGTCCCACATGTGACGTAGTTTCTATTCGAAATGTCCCCCCTGTGACGTATTTTGTATTCGAAATGTCCCCCATTCGAAATGTCCCCCCTGTGACGAAGTTTGTATTCGAGATTTCCCCCATGTGACGTAGCTTCTATTCGAAATGTCCCCCCTGTGACGTTGATTGTATTCGAAATGTCCCCCATGTGACGTATTTCTACTCGAAATTTCCCCCATTGACGTAGTTTGTATTCGAAATGTCGCCCCTGTGACGTAGGCAGTTTATGTGATCCGTGAAAGTCGAATGGGTTGAACAATTGTTCAACCTGAACCATCTCGGGGCCACATATGGGCGAGGTACTTCATTGAGTCGTGTGGACGTTTGTACCAGCTTCCATTAAAGCATGGGGGTGATTATTGTTGTGGAATTAAAAACACTTCAGTGCTCCTCACCCTGGTCAAGTAAAGTAGTGATTTTTGATGACGTTGAGGTCTAAAAGGTGCCAGTTAGCAGTACACGTAGATGTCATTTGGTGCCTATGATTGTTTTATCCTTGGATGAAACATTATACCGAATCCGCTTATTCCCGTTCCCCTCCACCAGTATCGCCGGGTCCTGTGCCACTATGGAGGTGGACCGGAGTGAGTGCGCCCCGCTGGCGCCCACCATGCAGGGGCGGACCGTGGACCTAGATGACGACCTTCGGGAGAACCTGTCGGCAATCTCCGTCAAAGCCAGCTACCAGGACAGGATGCAGGACGAAATAACGCCCCGAAACTCTTTCAGGTGATTCTACTTTCCTCTTCTTAGTCCCTACAACAGAAGGGGTCATTTACAAGTGACTGTTCTCCAAAAGTGCGACACTCTACAACTCTATATACTACAAGATCTATAGTGGCAACATCTATAGTGGCAACATCTATAGTGGCAACATCTATAGGGGCAACATCTATAGGGGCAACATCTATAGGGGCAACATCTATAGGGGCAACATCTATAGGGGCAACATCTATAGGGGCAACATCTATAGGGGCAACATCTATAGTGGCACTCCTCTTTCCTCGTTTAGAATGCATTATTTGAATTATGAACAAACGACATGTAGTACTAATAGAATATTAAGAAAGGGGCAGCATCTCAGGAGTATTGCAGAATCATGTATGTCATACAACGTTTAAATGCAATAAATGTTTGTATTTCATAGATGTCTACAGAGACCTGAGCTGTCCAATACGCAGGGACTAGAGAGAGAAGAGTCCCTGAGGTCTCTCATCACGAAACGGCGCATGTCCATGCCGTCAGGCGCCACCCTGGCCTCTTTCCGCGCAGAAAACTCCTCAGAGGACATTGTTCAGGTCAACACCATGTTTGACGTCGGCGAGTTTTCCCGGGGAGTCCGGCGGTACTCAGAGGTGCCGAGGAAACCTGAGGGCACTTATCGGCCCGAGGTAGACTCTTCTGCAAGCCTGGAAAAAATCCTGGAGACCAAGGAAAAGCCTTGATTTCCACGTGTGGACATGGTGTTTGGAAGTCGGACGAATAATCTGGAGTCATAATTTCCGTGATGATGACTACCTAACACCAGTATGCCCCTCATTGTTGACTTTTGGTTAAGTTGCAGTAGGAAAATTACAAAACCCGGGCATATGTCCTGATTCAGAATTCATCCTTATGCAATTTCTTTGCGATGATTTATTTATTATGTTGCAGTATATTTATGAATGTTGCCGTTTTAGTCGTCAAAATCCCAGAAGTATTCACTTAAACATGACTTCTGTACACGTCGCATACACACAAGCATTTTTTTGAAATGTCTTTTAACTGCACATGTAAATGGGAAATTTATGGTGATGATGAAGTTGTTATTGTGCTAAATAAAGTTCAACAAACATGATAAACCTGTTTCCATATGTGGTTATGCCAGTGTTTTCTACAGAAGGCCGACTGTGTAATTTCCTGTTGCCCTTACATGGTACATCGACCTGTTTGGGTGTACTACATTTATGTCCTACCTGGGCCGCGATTGCGTTCGATACGGGTGTTCCGGCCCGTGTGATAACTAGCGGTACGGCCCGGGTGTTCTTAAGGCGTCCGGCCCGGGCCTTCCAAATGTTCCATAGAAAGATTCGAACGCGTTTCACCCTAACCGCGTGCAACGCTTCCGAAAATTCGAACACAAAATTCGGACGTTGGAATTGATGTTGTTGCATTGTTTAGGTTTAGGGACACCAAATGTTTGCCTATTTCGCATTAAAAGGCGTGTTTTCTTGGGTGGATATGACATAAATAAAATACAACACGGGGTATTCCGTATCGCCCGAGGTACCAGCCCGACCGCGCGTCGGATCGCCCTCCGGCCGAATCTTACAAATATGTACGGATACAAGATGGTCGCGTTTCCAACGCAAACGTTCCATCTATCAAATATTTACCGATTTACAGGGACTTTTCGAATCGAAACTTGTTGACTTCACGATACACAAACAAACAAACAAACAAACACCCCCTTCCCCAACACTCGAGATCGCCAGGACCACTCGATCATTTAGGATCACACAAAATGGGTGAGTTATTGGAGCTTTTGTAAATTTCTTGTTTTGTATTACCTTATTAATTATACCAATAAAATGTGGCGTCATGTGGCGTAGTAGTAGAGCGTTCAGCGCTCAAACAAGGGGACCTGGGTTCGATCCCGTCCGAACTTGCGCCCCGGCGTTGTGCCCTTTGGAAAGTCCCAAGTCTTCGACTGGCGGACGAGAGCAGCGAGCGCTAGGCGGGCTGGCTGGATCAAGGCGGACCTTGAGCGTAACCAAGTCATCCGGCAGCTCACTGCAAGCAACCCAACCGGAACCAGTAGGAACTGACATGGTATCCATTGTCTCTTGAGACAGAAAGATGCCAACATACCAATAAGGCTGTTAAGGTGTCAAAGCCTCAAAGGTCTCTTTACAGTTTAACATTTCATTAGGCCACACCAATTTAATTTCTTGGTTGTCGAATTCGCCTCTTCTTTTTTATATGATTTAAAAATAGATTCTGAATCAACTCAAAAATGCTCATATGTTGCCCCCAACAGTCGAGGAAAGTCATCTTCTTCCTAGTTGTTACAGTTTTCAATATATCAATGTAGTGGTTTAAATAAAAGTTTAAAATTCATTGTTTGAATATTAACCCAGCCTTTAGTGTTGACTGCATGGCTCATATCGTAGCATTTGGGGATGTCTAAATCTATTTTCATTTTTTTTCATCGTGTCGCTTCATATTTTTTTCCTGAAAAAATCCGAGAACTAACAAATTAAATTGGTGTGGCCTTAAACATGGAAATATGCAGGTATGAAAATCACATCATTTATCATTAAGGAATCATGCCAATTTCGTATGAAGTTTGCATCATGTATACATTAAAGGTGCACCTGACATGTATGTATACAATTATGTAATTTCCTCGTTGAATAAGCGTATCAAAATTAATTTGCATAATTTGTATACAATTGTGTAACCTTTGCCTAAACTACCTGCATGCCAAACATGACTGACATCTGTCCATCCTCGCTTCAGTTATCGGCTTATCGCCTTTACATGTATATTCTATTACGCCGCTGTAGTACTAAACCTAAAGTTAGACCAAGCTTCTGTTTTAATCTATAAGATATGAGTTTGTTTGTCCTCTTGCTCGACATTTTAGAGAAATGTTAAAAGTACACATTTGAAAGACCATGAGAATTTAGACAGATCTGTGTGTAGGCGTGCGTAGTGCTGTACCTTTGCGTGGCTAATATCGTAATGGTAACAATTGAAATTATTTTTCTCGATCTTTTTTTCGTTTACTGATGTGCATAAGTAAAATGTAATCAGTTTTGTTATGCAATCTTGCAGAAAAGGGATGAAGAAGTCCTTTAATTCTGGGAATTGTGAAAGGGTCTAATTTCAGACACCATCCTCATCACAGAGGTACCGAAAGGTCCTTGGAACTTTGGCTTGAATCCGTCGCCTCCGCGCCGGTGTAAAACTGGGCTTGTTCCTTTTGAACCTCGTCCTGGTGCTGAGCTGCTGACGGCTGGACAGACGGCACCACCACGATGTGAAGATCCCCACTGGCATCTGACGTCACGGTGACGTCAGAAGGTGTGTAAGCAACGGCGTTCTTCTGATTAATGGAGCCATTCTAGGATAGGAAAATAACCAAGTCAACAGGTACGGCATTATCAACAGGGGGCGCTGCCTAAAACATTGTTGCATTTTGCTTTGTCAGGTTAACACTTGCTCCTATTTTCCATGTAATTTTCTCGGTTTCCAGGCCTGTTACTATCACTGGAGCACACACAATAACTGTACTCACAGATAGTTAAACACACGCTACAAATCTGCCAGACACATTCGGACCGGTCGCCACCGTGGTTCGTTCGAGTGGGCCGAGAAATTCTGAAAGACGCGGCAAATTTAGGAGCACGTGTAAATCCGCGTTTCGATTGGTTAGGGCGGATCAAGTTTACACTGTGATTGGCTAAGACAGGTCTTCCCCCCTCCCGTGCTCACCACATGATGGAAGTCCACTTGTACATCACTATGCGTAACAACATCAATTCATGACCCCATAGGTATCTACATAAAAATCTATAAATCGTACCTCGGAGGGTGGAGATCTTCTCTCGATATTTTTCCTCCCGCGGGCCACTCTTTCTAGCCCCGCCATGACACAAGCCAGCAGAATGCCTCCAACCAGAACGAAGAACACCCCGGAAAATGTCTTCAGATTGAGAGAAGATGACTGAGGTTTACCCAGCATGCACCTGCCATGCCGTGGCCACCATTTTTCCTTCATGGCCTCTAACCTTCCGTTTTCTTGTAGTTGGAGAATGCTGGGATTTGGAAACAAATGCGTATTACCGTCTATTTGTATCATAAACTATTTAAGTTGTTAAGACTTTTACGTCATTCTGTTATCCTTGTATCCTATGCATCATGTTACTCAGTACGATGTACATGTAACATCACATTCTGATGTATGCATTTAGCCCCATGTGCATGAACATGAAAATAAATAAAGATTCATCATAAGTAGAATCATACCCTGGGCGTGATGCCCCAGTTTGGGGCCTTGCCCAGTACGATATAAATATAGAATACAACACGGTGTATTCCGTATCGCCCGAGGTACCAGCCCGACCGCGCGTCGGATCGCCCGACGGCCGAAGGCCGGAGGGAGATCCGATCCGCGGGAGGGCTGGGACCGAGGGTGATGCGGAATACACCGTGTTGTATTTTATTTATGTCATACCCACCCAAGAAAACGCGCCTTTCAATGCGAAATGAGCGAAAATTTGGTGTCCCTAAACCCAAAAAATGCGACAACATCAATTCCAACGTCCGAATTTTGTATTCGAATTTCGAAATCGGTGCACGCGGTTAGGCCGAAACGCGTTCGAATTAGAGCTGTGTACCGGTACGCAGTACCGATACTGTACCGGAAAAATTGATTAGGTACAGGTCCAAAATACCTAATCCCTCAGTACCGGTACTGTACCTAAATAATTTCACACCAATTTTATGCCTATTTGTGACCTCAAATGTGTAAATAGCTGGTTAACAATGGGTCCCTGTGTAAGGACAGTGTGTTCATGAAAACAAAAACACTTAGTTTTGCCTATATTTTTTGTCTGAGCATTCGCCATAAACAAAGAATACACCTTAACTATCAAGTTTATTTATGTTTTTTTGTTATTGAAGGAGTTCAGAAGAGCATATAAATTGGTCGAATTGTTCAGGTACAGGTTCAGGTCCGGACCTGTACCTAAACCTGTGTACCTGTACCTGTACCTAAAATTTGTTTAGGTACACAGCTCTAGTTCGAATCGTTCCACGGAACATTTGGAAGGCCCGGGCCGTACGCGGTAAGAACCCCCGGGCCGTACCGCTAGTTATCACACGGGCCGGAACACCCGTATCGAACGTAATCGCGGCCCAGGTAGGACATAAAGATAGATACCGCACAATCATTAGGCATGCCTTTGGTGAAACTTACGGGCAGAGTAACAAGTTAAATCACCAGTTCTCTTCCTGTCTGAACGGATGTTGTACATATTCATGACGGTACAGTCGTTTCATGAGTAACCTGAAGTTGATTTCGTCAAACTACTTACGCCAGAGAGACTTTGTCTTTCAATGGATGTCCCTGTGGAAAAGCGATGCCATAACCCCTCATCTGGCCCGACTGCTGTACGACTGTGAGACGACAGTTCGGGTCTGTTCGTACCACGTGTTCTAGTACGGCCTTGTCCCACACGAACGCGTACTGACCTGGAGTTCTCGGGCACAGATGAACATGATGAACTTTATTGCTCGACAATCGTACATGGTACAATGTGTGGCAGTAATACAACAATACTACAAAACTAAACTATCTTATTACATTACTTACTACAAACTACTATCTATACAGTATAGATGATATGGTTTCGCTTATGAAATAAAGTATACAGAAATTGGCCTACGTAAGCAGATATGGTAGTTGGACATGACAATAATTCATGGAATGTATCGTACTGTGTACCAGATTGGGTGAACTTTGTCTTAGTGGTAATAGTCTGTAACAAAGTATCTCCTTCTTTTCTATGGTGGGACAAGTCATAACAAAGTGAAATTCATCTTCAATACTCTCATTACATGTGGGACAGAGATGATAGACACATCTGATAGGGAAGCTACGCTGGCTAATGTTTTCTTAAAGATCTATTCCTGAGCTTGTCGAGCTCCCAGCTGTCTATATACTGACATATCATTTCAGAATACATCATTCGGAATAACTTTCAACAGCAAAATGATTCGGACCTTCTATATCCTACTCAGGCTCAGTATTAAAGAAGAGATTGGCAATGGGCTTATAACTACAACCTCGGTTAAACATATATGGCCCCGTTCATGATTGGATTTCTGTTGCGAATTGATTCGATTTAAAAAAATAAAGCCATTCATTTGGGAACATGAACGCTCCAAACCGGTTCCGTTGCGATTTATTTTGAACCACCTCGCAAGGTGGTCTGAAACGATATATAACGATTCGCATTCGCACCTTTTTGGCTTTTGCGGCGAATCACTATGGACTAGTTATAATGCTGTCTGAAATATGGAACGCTATTTTCCGCAAAAAATGATCTTGCAATGACCCGTCATGAGGGTCAGGGGTCTGTGGTATTGTACCCTGGGTGCCAAACTAGTATCGGGCCGTTAGC